ATGTCTAAAGTTGTCATTGGCAAGGGAAGGTTTTTTTCTGGAAGCAGCAGAAAAGATTAGGCAAATTCAAGAGCAGATATGCCAAGATGGTTTCAGATTTTGTTTATGGAGGCCTTCCCATAATGAGTCAGGAAGGCCTGATGAGATAGATCTCAGTATCACCACAGTGTGCCATTCCTTGTGTGGCCCAGGTAGACAGTGTTAGCTAAGAAGAAAAGAGAGTCTGGGCAGAGGAGAATATGCAAGATTTATACAGGGCCCGAGCTACTTACAAATTACACTCAGATACAGAAGTTGCTTTTTTTTTTATTTTATTTTAACTTAATTTAATTTAAACCCAATTAATTAACGTATAGTGTATTATACTTTCAGAGGAAGCATTCAGGGATTCACCAGTTGGAGATAACACTAGTGCTCATGAGTTCCCGTGCCCTCCTTCATGCCCGTCCCCTGTTATCCCCTCCCCCGTCCCCCCCCCTCCAGCGACCCTCAGTTTGTTTCCTATGATTAAGAGTCTGTATTTCCTGCCTCTGTTTTCATCTTATTTGTTTTTCCTTCCCTTCACAGATGCCCATCTGCTTTGCTACTTTAATTCCACCTCTGAATGACACCACACGGTCATTCTCTTTCCCGACTGACTTATTTCACTTAACACGATCCCTCTAGTTCTATCCACGTCATTGCAAATGGCAAGATTTCCTTCTCTTTGCTAGCTGAGTACCATTCCCATCATCTATCTATCTATCATCTATGACCATCATCTATCTCCCATCCTCTTTATCCATCATCTGCCCGAGGGCACTGAGGCTCCTCCCGCAGTGTGGCTACTGTGGACCCGGCTGCTGTGCACATTGGGGTGCAGGTGTCCCGAGTGTCACTGCATCTGCATCTTGGGAGTGAGCTCCAGGCCGTGCACCTGCCGGTCGCAGGGCGGCTCTATTTGTAACTTCCTCAGGAGCCTCCACACTGTTTCCAGGGCAGCTGCACCAGCCCGCGGTCCCGCCCACAGTGGAAGAGGGTTGAGTGAGTTTTGCAGGACGTGGTAAAAGTCTGGTCCACATTTCATTCTGCGTCCTGTGGGCTCCCATTCCTTGTCCTTAAGTATTTCTGGGGAAGCCGGGTGTTGGGTTTCGTTTCAGTGAGACGTTTCCGAAGCTCACAGGCCTCAGCTGGAGCCTGGAAGGAGGCAGGTGCGCCCAGGCGCGGGGACGCCTCCTCCTGCAGGGCCTCCTGCATTGCCTGAGCGTCCCGCAGGGGGCGCCCGAGCCCAAGCCCCGCCCAGGAGGCGCGCATGCCCAGTAGGCCTCTTCCATCTGCACTAACAAGAGCCTGCCTGTGCTGGGGAGGCCTCAGGAGGACATGGGGAGCGTCCACGCTGATGAGCCGCAGACTCCTAACTGTAACTCACACCCTAACCCCTAACCCTAACTGCAAACCTAAGCTCAACCCTAACTCTAACCATAACCCTAACCCCAACTCCTAACCTCCTGCCCTAATCCCTAAAGCCTTACCCTAACTCTAAATCCTGTGCCTAACCCTAACCCCTTTCCCTAATCGCTAACCCCCATCCTAACTCCTAACCGCTGACCCTTACCCTAATCCCTCACCCTAACCTCTAATCCGTACCCATAAGCATAATCACGAACCCCTAACATCTCACCTAACCCTAACCACCAACTGCCTCCCCTCCCCTGACCCTACCATTCATTCTACCCATTCACTTACCCTGTGGTTCTAGGAGCCCCTTCTGATGTGGACGTGGCCCCCAACGGCGCCTCCAGAGTCCTCCAGGCGGTCCTGAGGCAGCCGGGCTCCTGTGAGTGCGGACGCGGCCCCACGTGTTCCTGAGTCATGGTCAGCGGGTCCTGAGGACGCGGGTCTCCTGTCACCGTGGACTATGCCTCCCATCCTCTGGAAGCCTCACAGCAGGTCCTCAGGAGGCCGGGGGCTCCTGTCAGGCTGGACGTGGCCCCACCTCCCCCCGAAAACTCACCGCGGGTCCTGAGGAGGCCGGGGCTCCTGTCAGCATAGACGCAGCCCCATCTGTCCCGAGGCCAAAGTGCAGGTCCTGAGGAGGGCGGGGGTCCTGTCAGTGTTGACGTGGCCCCACATTTTCCTCAAGCCTCACCATAAGACCTGAGGAGGCCGGGGCTCCTGTCAGTGTGGATGCGGCACCCACATCTTTCTTAGGCCTCACCACAGCCCTGACAAGGCTGCGGTCTTCTGTCCGCATGGACGCATCCCCATATCTCCCGAAGTCTACCCCGGGGGTCCTGAGGAAGACAGCGTCCTGTTGTGTGGACGTGGCCCCACGTCCTCCCGAAGCGTTACCGCGGGTTCTGAGGAGGCCGGGGCTCCTGTCACCGTCGATGCGGCCCCCAGCGGCCAGAAGCGTCAACTTACGTCCTGAGGGGCCGGGAGCTCCTGCCGGACTGGACGCCGCGCCACGTCTTCCTGAAGCCTCCCCGTGGGTCCTGAGGAGACCGGGGCTCCTGTCAGCGTGAACGCGGCCCAATGTCCCCCAGAAGTTGCTTTTCTAATTGAATTTTAAAAGTAAAATTCTGGAAACAAAAGGCAAAAATAGTTTATTAGCAGGCTTTTATAAAACTGAAGTAAGATAAGAGAAGATGATGTTATTAAGGAAATGTGAGAATCTATTATAAAATGCCTCAGAATTAGTAAAAAGGGACATTTATAGTATAAAAGGGAAAATTAGAAATTTAAAAGGTAAACTTAAGGAATTCTTCAAAGAGACCAAGGGAAGCAGGCAAACAGATGTGAGAAAGAACATGATATATGAGAAAATTGGATATCAGAAATCTCGTATGGATAACTGATACACTTGAAAAAGAGAGAATAAATGAAAGAGAATAGAGAGAGAGGAAAAATTTTTGAGATGACGGAATTCCTGATAGTGGTTAATTATGTCTAAACCTGTCCGGAGTATTTGAAACATTTGATCTCTACTCCTTTGTAGTAGTTATCTATTGCTGCGTAACAAATTTCCGCAAACCATGGCAACTTTAAAGAACACATTTATTTTCTCAGTTTCTGTTTTTTATAAAATCTGGGCAAATATTACCTGAGTCTCCTGCTTCAGTCTCTCTCATGAGGTAGCGATGAGGCCCAACTGGGCTGGGAACTGCTCCCAAGATCATTCAGTGGTTATTGACAGAATTAGTTCCTTGAGTGTTGTCAGACTGCCTGGCTCAGTTCCCTGTTGACTGTCACTCAGGGGCCACCCTCAATCCCTTACCATATAGGTGTCATTATTACTCACTTACATAAGATAGCCCCACCCTTTCCATAATTTCTGATTACAGCTAAAAGTTGTTCTTTTTCATTCATACTTCACACAAGTTTGTCATTTCATCAAAGTTAAAAGCATTTTCAAAAATCATAAAAGCAATAACTTGTTGAAGTACTAAGGAGTATTTAGAGGAACCATATGGTCTATCAGTCATAGAGTACTTGAAAAAGACCATAATTTAATCTATTTTTCTAAAGAAGAGAAAGTGAAAATAACTAATTATAATAGTAAGTTTGGTGGCATATCTGAGGTGGTTAAATGTCATGCTGTGGAATTCTTTTAAACTCGGTAAGTGCAGGGGCACCTGGTGCCTCAGTCAGTGGTTGAGTATCTGCCTTTGGTTCAGGTTGTGATCCCGGGGTTCTGGGATTGAGTCCTGCACAGGGCAAGCCATGGTGAGTCTGCTTTTCCCTCTGTCTGTGTCTCTGCCTCTCTCTATGTCTCTCATGAATAAATAAAATTCTAAAAAAAAAAGGTTGGTAAGTGGCATATCTCATCTGGAAATAGGACTGTAAAATCAAAGTCTTTGCTTTAAATTGTCTAAATTGTTCTACAGTTCTACTCAGTAGGAAACTCTGTAGGGCTTGGGTTCAAAGTCTTAGGATAAGAGAATCATTTCCCCATCAGTGTCCTCCAGTCACATGTCTTCATAAGGAGCTATGAGATCTCCACATCATAGACTTAGTGTCATCATTTCCGTATTTACAAGAAAGTTCTACTTGAGAGCATATGTTTTATTTCTAGCTCAGTTCGTGTGGTGGCTAACTGAAGATTCATACATTAAAGATTTCCATTTTATTAATATTAAGAGGAATGAGACAAGGACAAGAATTAAAATAAAAATTAAAAAAAAAACAAAGAAATAAATCAAACAATACAGCAAAGATCCATAGGTTTGTCTTAAGTAAGATTGTGGCCTCATGGGAAATAGGGATTTATTTCTGGGTTAGGACAAGGTTTTCCAAAACATCACCCCACAGATAAAGCCATAGTTTTTAATGTGTTCTCAAGTAAACTCCCACATGTAAAGAAAGCCTGCTATAATAGGAGACATTTGACAGATGGACTCTGGGTTTGTTGGGGATTGAGTTTATATAGAACCTCATACTGCAGAGAGAAATGAACTTCTTGTGGAAAAAGAAGTCGCTCCCACCCTTGGAAAAGAAGGAGTATGGGACCAAGTCCGTGGTGGAAACTGATAAAGCAGGCCAAGATAAAAAAACAAACAAACAAACAAACACAAAATTGTGGTGATGATGAAGTGGCCCTAATTGCACATGTGGAAAGCATGTGCCCTAATAATGGAAGCAGCAACTTTATTAGTTAGGATAATTTCTGTAGCAAAAAAAGAAACAACTTCAAATGGCTTAAACAATATAGAAATTTTATTGATCACATTATAGGACATCCCAGCAAAGTTTAGGGTAACTCCAGCAGTTATTAGCCTACCATTTCAATGACATCATTAATAGATCGTGTTTTATTCTTTTTACCTTCCTGCTCTATTTTATTCAGTATATCAGCCCTGCCCTCATAATCACAACACGATTGCAAAACTGCCAGATAGGCTATCCAGATGCCAACATCCAGAGGAAGGGACAAAGCTATCTTTTGAAAAATTTCCCAACTTATCTTTTCTCTTATCTCACTGGCAAAAAAAAAAAAAAAAAAAAAGGTGGCTGGGGGAGCCATACACTTACCAAATCAAGCACTAGTAAGGGAAATAAGATTATTATAATTAATTTAGAATGATAGAGATTTATCCTGGAGATGGAATAAGGATTGCCTTTTCTAAAATATGAACAACTGAATAAAACTGTTGTTCTAAAAAACAAGGAAGAATAAGGTTATTTGGAAAGCAAACAACAATGTTTATTCCAACATCAGTCAGCTAAGCTAATGATTGCTATGGGCGTTCTTATTCCAATGCTGCCAAATCATTTGATTACTTTTATGAAGCTGGAAATCTGGATGTTTATGCAAGATCTCCCAATTTTTAAATATTGGCAATAAATTCAAAACATTTAAAAATACTTTATGACCAAAATTACTCCAGCCAAATGAAAGAATTCTGTAGTCCAGATATGTCCTGCAAGCTACCTGTTGACAACCTCTGGTTTATGCTATTAACTTATGTAACTAAAACTTTCTCTACTTAGAAAGTGAAGTTCATATTAAGCTTGCCAGTCACTGAATTATACAAATTCCTGGGGAAAATTTTTTTTGATTAATAAAGTTTTTATTAATTTGTAGCAAACTTCAAATGGCACAGCTAATAAGGATTGCAAAAGATAATGTAGGAATAAGATGTTTTATCAATCAGAGAGAATGTTTATATACTTTTGTTCCTAGGGCTCTAATTTGACAGGTTAATGGTTAAAACATCAAGATGTTGCTAGTCATCTAATGATAAATATACAATTTTCTTCCATTGCCCCCAGTTTCCTGTGATTTCTTGGGGGATTTTTGGTTGTTTTAATTAGAGGGTAAATTATTTCTTACTAAATTAGAAAATCAAGATGTTCAAAATATTTGAGGAAATATTAGCCAACATTACAATAAGAAAAGGGAGGATGTCTAGAAATGTCACCTAATTAGAGATTTCAGATTCATAGCTGCTGGTTTAGAATCCTCTTCTTTCTCAAGAGTATGGAGGATAGAGATTGCAAATTCATACAAAGATTCTCAAGAGTATATCTCTCTTGAAAATTTCTGTTTAATCTCCTCAAAGTATAAGATGAATCAAGAAATGTTAACATCCTTAAGTATCAAGAGCAAATAATGAGAAAGTAAGTATATTTCTCTTCCATCCAGATTATCCAGTTTTCCAAATTGATCATTACCCCATCCATCCTTGCTTTGTTGCTGCTTTAGACTTTTGGATTGGACCCCTGAAAAAGACAAAGTTCTTAAATTATCAACTTAATTCTAAAAACTTAGATATTCTCTAACTTTGAACTATTGAGAAATTAAAATCAATTCTGTGTAGTCACACTTTCTATTTTATAGATCATTTGATATTTCACAGTGAAGCAGTGGAAACATGTGAAGACAGGGAAAGAATGTGAGAAAAACACCACACTGGAATCCAAATATACATCTGATTAATTGGTGTAAAATGGAAAAGATGAAGGATCAAGAGAAGAGCTATGAGACACTGGGTAATTAACCTATGGGAGATGTCCTCTATCTCAATTCCTGAGGAATATTTCTGAGAAAATAAAGAATATTGGGATCATCAACACTTCCTAGCTAAAACTCTCCCATCTTCTTCCACTTGGTTTTGACCACACAAAGAAGGGAGACATATCTTAGATCCTATAATCATACACATACTGTTCTTCATGAATATCTTCTAGGAAGATAGGGTTAGAACTTCTCTCCTTGATAGTAGGAGTGTGGCAAGATTACAGTAGTTTGGCTATGGATCTCTCACTTTATTTTATCCTTAAAAACAGATGGAAGTATTTTTGTGGTATTATGATATATTAAAGACAAAAATAATAGTAAGTCATTAGAAACGCTATGTTTTTCCAATCTTAAGCATATTTATTTCCTTATTTAAATCATCCTTTATCTTTCCATCACTCTAGTTCAAGTTCCAACCACTTAGTCAATGAATCTTTCTCCTACTTTACTCTGAGTTCATTCATTTTCCCCCTTACCATATTCTTCTCAGTTAGTACCATTTGCTTTGTCAGGAAAAATATGTGAGGAACTAAGCGCTCTATACATATATGACTAGTTTTCACACTAAAAATGTAAACATTCTTGAAAAAATGATCTTAAGTTTTAGTTCTTTCTCATTTACCCACAACAGAGTATCAAGTATGAAGAAATATGCTCAGTAATTACTTGAGTGAATGAATTCTACTTTTACTTCTTAAGTGCCTAACTTTTATTACAGATTTGCCTACATATGGTCTATTTTTCATACCTTGAAAACTGTAGCTAATATATAGACCTTATTCTATCTACATTAAATTAAAAAGTAAAATATATAACAAAATTTTATATTCTCCAGAATAAGCATATAGAAACTAACCTTTGAAGGAAACTGTTTACCTCCTACAGCAAAACTATTTATCAATTCATGATGATTATGTAACAGTAGAACTATTTTTAACAATAAAAATTAATACCCATACTAATTTTAGATAGTAAGTAGGACTTACTTTCTTTTTTTTAAAGTTTTTTTATTTATTTGAGTAATCTCTATACCCAACATGGAACTTGAACTCTCAACCCTGAGATCAAGAGTCACATGCTCTTCCAACTGAGCCAGACACATGCCCAGTGTAGGAGGCCTTGCTTTCTTAGATATACCTATGTGCTAAAATATCTCAGGTTACTCTAAGGAGCATGTATCCTGAGAAAGAATCTATAGAGACATTATTCACATGGGGCCCAAAGGACATTTAAAAAATCATTAGTGACTACCAGATACTTACAAGGAAAGAAGATGACGCAGATGTAGGAATCGGTGGTGGTGGAAAATCTGGCTTTGTAATTAGCTAGTGAAAAGATAAAAAAATTAATTCTAAGGTGGGGCCTTGAAAACATGTGCTTAACGGAAAGGCTTAAATCATTTTCAGAAAAGGAGAACTCATGATCTTACCCATGAAAATAGTCTAAATCTGTAAGTTCAAGTGCTTTCATTTAGGCATACATATATAATTCAGAAATAAGGCCAATGACAATAGACAGATGGTGAAGACGCCATTTTATGAAGCTGATAGATACTTTTCTTGTAATAAGTCACCAGCTTTTCATACCCAGTAATTCAGATTTAGGGGTTAAATGTACGAATATAACCTTCTCACATTTTGCATTTTCAAAAAGTTTTGGCGGAAAATCTATGTTTTATATTAATATTCACAAAGATTTTAACATTCTTCTGAGGAAATAATTGGGTATTGTGGGTTATGTCTTTTACTAGTAGTTCCTTGGGATTAGATTGGAAGTGATCTTTAGTTTTCAACTCACAAAAGAAGCTGGAGGCTCATTGCCCTCTACTGGCAGATCAGGTGAATGGAGCTTCATCTGACTCATCTAAAAATAATAATGATATATTTTTTAATGAAATGATCAGTTTTCTAAGTTCAATTTTCAAATAAGCAGTCCTTTCAAGACCTAGGAGATCAGAACTAAGATGACACCAAGTGACTGGAAGGGAAATCACAGCGGTCCAGCTGCTGCATTCTGCTGTATCCAGAGCTGCCAGAGACAGGTACATTTCCATTAAAAACATTTTGCCAATGACACTACCATTAAACAACCTCTTAAATTTCTAAACTTGCAAAACAAGGCAATGGCTTTAAGGGTTATACATATTATATGTATTGTTATGCAAATATACATATTATTTTCTTTATTGGGACATTTGTAAAAGGAAAAAGGAATCCGCTTCTAGTCAGAAAAAAAGAAAAAGAGAGAGAAGGAAGAGGAAAGAGAGATAAGAAGAGAGAAAGAGGGAGGGAGGGGACAGAAGACAGGAATAGAGAGAAGGGGAAGGAGCAGGGGAGGGAAAGACAGAGACAGAGAATCTGGAGTCAGCTCTCCTTGTTCTCTTTATTTTCTTAGCATTTGTGAACCTCAACAAAGCAGCCTCAGCATTTTAGAAAGATTCTTTTGCACTTTAATAAAAGGCAAAGAAGAAATTTTCTGAATGCATAGCTACAGAGCCCCAAATTCTTGCTAAATACTAACTAGTGGACTGGATTTGTAAAACATGACTGAGTAGGAAAGACAGGTGGTCAGGACAAGACAATGAGAGAATCACAAACTGGGACCTAAGGCAAGCACACTACAAACTACGGTTCACCTCTTGGGGTTGAACAGCCTTCCCTGTCTGTGGGTTCCTCTTCTGTCTGCGAGGCCTGGTGCCAGTAGTAGACAGTGGCCTGAACGTGAAAGCATATCATATAAATAGATTTAGTAGTTCCTTCACCATGATGAGGACACTCTAGAGAAGTCTGCCAATTTCCTTTTCCCATTGTGTCATCTTTGGTCATTGGCTGGGCTTTCTTCTGCTCTCTAGGACATTCGTAAGGTCTCGTCTGAAATTCATAATCACCACCAGTAATTTTCGACCAGATTCTCTACAGAGCCCTGATTTCAAATAATAATGATTTGAATCAGCGTTTACCTAAATTATTGTGTCATTTAATTAATTATTTATTTTATTTATTCTATAATTAGGAAACCCTTTATTGTGAATAAGTCAGTCTTTTAAAAAAAGGCTAGAAAGATGTTGTAGTGTCAAGATCATGTTTGAAAGACTAACCAATGTAGGTGGAAATCAAGATTCCATCAACTTCTGTTGTAAGACTTTGTACATATTTGTTAACCTCTCTGAGCCTTTGTTTCCTTAGAAAAAGTATGAAGTGCCTTGTTTTGCAAGACTGTTGTAGGATTAATATATAATACCTTTTCATCTATAAAATGGAAATAATAGTTACTACCTCACAACATTCTTGTGAAGATTAGAGATAGTGAATGTAAAGCAAAGCAATTGTCACAAAGATAGTGACCAATTAATGTGACATATGGTATTCTTATAATGGGTGTAAAACCTTTAATAATGAGAGTTACTATAACTTGTTATTAATTATAAGTACAGTGATCAACATAAAAAAATACACATACTGTCATGAAGGATTTCCCAGTAAAATCGATACCTGGCTTCTGGTCCAAGAAAAATATATCTGTACTTATTTCTGACTATTTGAGGTACCACAATTAAATTTGAGAATTTGGGTCATATCCTTGAATTGAAAAATAAATTAGAGGCCAAAAAGTCCCCAAAGCAAGATTGAAGCCTACCTCTGGACTTCCTTCTGCTTTCCTCTGGTACTTTGGTGCCAGATTACTACAGCAACCACCACAGATATGACAGCCACAGGGAACAGCACCCCAACCACAATGGAGAAGTCTGCAACAAAGAGAACCCAAACAAGATGAGGCTATGAGAAATTCATAAATATCCACCACTCTGGTCTTTATTTCTGTATCTATCACAAATTGCATTTATGCTTTCCTCCAGAGAACACACACTCCCTGGAAAATCTCTCATGGTCAGTAAAATGAAAATGCATTTTGTTTAAATTTTTTTTAAAGATGTTTTATTTATATATTCATGAAAGACATGAGAGAGAGGCAGAAACATTGGCAGAGGGAGAAGCAGGGCCCCTGTGGGGAGCCTGATGTGGGACTTGATCCCAGAACCCTGGGATCATGACCTGAGCCGAAGATAGATGTTCAACCACTGAGCCACCCAAGGGCCCTGAAAATGCATTTTGATCATGAGAAATACTATGTAGATAGAGGAAGTAAAGGGGAAATGCATATAAAACATTGTATATGAAGTAGGTAAAGCATCATGCTACTGAGAATACTTACAAGGGATGATGAGTATAACAACTAGAAACTGTTGAGTTCAGAGATTAGAGAGAACAGGAAGTAAGGAGGATGGAAGAAAAGAAGTGAAACATTTTTAGGATTTGGCATTGGAATCAAACAAAGAAAAAGAAACTAAAGCCTTGAGATCATATTCCTGTCAGTAGCAAATGAAGAGTGGAGACATAAAGAAGAGACTTGATAGAGGCACTGGGGACTGTTTCCTGATGTTTGCTCCATCTTGGAATTATTATGGGCAGAGAAGAAATTATGTGACCCTGTGAATTGAGCACCACTTTGAACAAATTTCCTGAGTGTAATGGTGTTTTCTCTTTTAACTGCTAATCTAAGTAATGACTGTAACTTTAATTTTTTGCTATCTCCAATATTAATTTCTCTTCTAATAATCTGAAACTTCAGAAACCAAGAGGTACATGTTTGAAGAGGAATGAGAACAACTATTGCTTTCTTATGAGACATCAGCAAGACAATAAGAAGATTAATTTTGGTATAAATGCAAGAAAAGTTCCTAAGTGTGAACACATATACATGCACATGGAGACAGATATGTCAGAAGTATAATTCTAAGATAATAACAAATATCTAAACTTTCCACCCTCCATAACAATTCCTATCCAAAAAGCCAAAGGAAATAAAATTCTGAAGTATTTCAATTGAATATAGCATGGACAGACTCAGAATGAAAAAAACAGTACTGGCACTAACGTTGGATTTCTAACTATTTTCAGAAACTGACATGGTATCAGAGGAAATAAAGAGGAAATTGACCAGACTTTACAAAAACCCCTACTTTGCAATTTTTTTAATGCATTTTTTTTTCTAATTCATGAGAGACACACAGAGAGAGAGAGAGGCAGAGAGATAGGCAGAGGGAGAAGCAGGTTCCATGCAGGGAGCCCGACGTGGAACTTGATCCCAGGTTTCCAGGATCATGCCCTGGGCTGAAGGCAGTGCTAAACCGCTGAGCCACCCGGGCTGCCCTTTTTTTGCAATTTTTTTTAATGCATTTTTTTTAACTTCATGAGAAACACACACAGAGAGAGGCAGAGACATAGGCAGAGGGAGACAAATACCCCTACTTTGAAAGGACAAAGTCTACAGAGAAAGATGGAGTATAAGACAAATGGGGAGTATTATGATAGGAAGGAGGTATGCTGTTGAACATGGAAATAATTGAAGATAAAGTATGCTCTTCTGTTTCTGGTAATGGTGGTCTAAGAAATTCAGACCAACTCCTTCACTAAAACAACTAAGGCATTTTTGCGCCCCCCCCTCAAAAAAAAAAAACAAAAACAAACAAAGCAAAACAACACTTCATCAAAGACATGGTAGTACTAAAAACAAAATAGGGGAAAATTAATTTGAAAAGATGAGTGAGAGGGCAGGAACCCAGAAAGACAGAAAGGAGAATGATCTTGGATGGAAGTTCAGAAATGCAGTAATGAAAAATAAATACACCAAGTATGAACCCTATTGTGAACTATGGTCTTTAATTATCATGTGTTAGTGTAGCTTTATCATTTGTGACAATGGACCACTCTGGTGGGAGATGCTGATAGTGAAGGAGCACTGTTGAGGCGGGGAGGGGCAGAGGCATATGTGGATTCTCTGTACTTTGCTCGATTTTGCTGTGAACAGAAAACTGCTCTAAAAAGCAAAGTCTACTATAAAACAAAATGAAACAACAAAAAAAGAAAACAAATAAAATAAACATTTTTACGATGACCACTAAAATAATATAAAATAAATGTGCAATTTCCAAATTAATAAAAAGAAAAATGGAAAGATTAAAATCCTCAGTAAGTCCATACAAAAGCAAGGTAGTAGAGAAAATGGAACACAGAATAGGCAAAATAAATAAAAATCATATAATATGATTGTAGACTATACCCAAGTATATCTGTAGTTGCCTTTAATTTAAATAGACTAAATACCCTGGCTTTAAAAAAGATTGTAAGACCACACATTTAAGAATATATATATATATATATATATATATATATATATATATATATCAGAAAAAAAGAATATATGTTTCCATGCTTTTTAAAAATAAGTAACATATATAAAACATGAGGCTTAAAAAAATAAAATGAAACATGAGTCTTTTTTTATAAAGAATAAAAGTAAAAGTATGGGAAAGTGTTATACCAATGCAAAGGAGACCAAAAGAAATTCAGCATAGCTATATTCATCTCCAGGAACTACAGACCTTATAAAAGCAAGAAGACTAGAGCTACATACAAGCATTGCTTAATGATTAAAGTGTGAAGTCACGATGAAGACGTAACAATTCTAAACTTTTATGTAATAATAGCATGCTCATAAGATATATAAAGCACTGGTAGAGCCAGAAGTAACAGTCAAATTCACAATTGTAGTGAAAGATTTTTAATATTCCTGGCTCAGTAGTTGACAGCACAGATAAACAAGATATCAGTAGGGATTAATAGATGTACACACAGTGAATAATCTTGGTATAAAAAACAGAAAATACTGCTTACAACAACATAGAATACATATTTTTGCATGCACAAAGAGAATATTTACAAATATGGGAATATTCTGAGCCATAAAGCAAGTTGCAATACATTTCAATATATTCTTAACACAGTTTTTCTGACCCTTATGTAATTATGTTAAGTATTAATTTAATAATAACTGAAAGGGATCCCTGGGTGGCGCAGCGGCTTAGCACCTGCTTTTGGCCCAGGGCGCGATCCTGGAGACCCAAGATCGAATCCCACGTCGGGCTCCCGGTGCATGGAGCCTGCTTCTCCCTCTGCCTATGTCTCTGCCTCTCTCTCTCTCTCTCACTCTGTGTGACTATCATAAATAATAAATAAAAATTTAAAAAATAATAATAATAATAACTGGAAACTCACATATGCTTATATGTTAAGAAATATAAAACTAAACATTTCAGGGCCAAAGAAGGAAGCAAGTGGAAAATAGAATATAATTTAAATCAAATGATAATGAAGATATCTTTTACCAAATGGGCTACAACTGAGAGTTCTTAGAGGAAAATGTATAGATTTATCTTTAAAAAATGTGTTTTAAAAGAGAGCTGAAAATTAGTGAGTCGAATTACCATTTCAAGAATTTTTTAAGATAAAATAAATGTAAGGAAAGGAAATGGAACAGTATAAATTATAAATTAAGATAGCAAACAAGTGTAAAAAAAAGAAAAACAAGCAAATTATTAAAAAATGCCAATTTAAAAATTCCATTTGGATGATAAAATAAAATAAAAAACCAATTCCACAGATCCCATTGATAAAAACATAAGAAAATATTAACTACTTTAAACCAAAATACATAAATAAATAAATAAATTTAGATGAAGCAGAAAAATTTCTAGGAAACCGTAACATACTAAAACATATAAGAAGAAATAAAAAATCTGAAGGGTCTTATAATTACTGAAGATATTGAATCTTCCGTTTTTATACAAACTCTTCCAGAAAATATAAATAAACACTTTCCAATTCATTTTCTATGATTGACGAAACCCTAATATTCAAATTGAGCAAGAAATTGCAGGCCAATATTACTCAGGACATAAAATAATAGCAAACATCATCCATCAATATATGTAAGAGATACTGCATCTACATTGGGTTTATCCAAAGATTGCAAAGTTAAGTAAATGTTCAGATATCAACCAATTTATTTTGCAACACTAATAAAGGGGTAAAAAATCTTAACTAATAAATAAAGAAATGTATTTGATTTAATTCCTAGGATTAGACATGAACTTCCTTAACCTGATAAAGGAGACATAAATATGTACAGAATACCTTCAGATAACAGGGCAAAACACAGAGTCTTTACTTTGAGACTGAGAAAGAAACAAAGAAGCTTACTATCACTATTTCTATTCTGCATTGTACAGGGGGGTAGTACTCAGTGAAGAAAAACAAGTACAAGAAATTAAAATTGTAAAAATTAGAGAGAAAGAAATAAAACTACCATTTTCTGAAGCAATATGACTGAATATGTAGGAAATTTAAAGGATTTATAAGCTATCAGAATTATTGAGAGGTTAGCATAAGTATTTGATATAAGAATAAATATAGAAAAATGAGTTGAATTTCTATATTCTAGTAATAGTTGAAAAAATATTTTTTCAGAAGATACCATTTAAAATATACAATGAAAGCTAAATTCCTGTAAGTAAATCTAACAAAATACATGAAAAATTTCTATGGTAAAAACCATTAAATGTTATTTGCCAGAATTAAGAAAGACTAAATATATGGCCAGATATTTCATATCAATAGATTAGGAAATCAATATTTTTAAAGATGTATTTATTTGAGAGAGAGAAAGAGAGCAGAGGGAAGGACAGGGAGAGAGAGAAAGAGGGAATCTCAGACTCTCTGCTGAGTGCAGAGCCCATCACAGGACTCAATCTCACGACCCTGAGATCATGATCTGAGCAGAAATAGTCAGACACTTAACTGACTAAGCCACTCAGGTGCCCCAGGAATTCAATATTTTTAATATATGCTTATTCTCCTCAAGTAAATCATAAGTGTGGTTTATGTTAAATGAAAATCCCAACAGGAATTGTGTGTAAATTGAGAATCTGATTATAAAATATATGTGAAAGTACAAAAAGCTAATAATCAATTTGTTCTTAAAGAAGAACAAAGTTAAAGGACAGCATAAAAATATAAAAAGATTGGGTTTAAAACAATATGCAGAAATAAAATATATGCTTTCAGAAAAAATATAAAGAATCAAAGTAAATTTAGGGTGGCATCTGTTTGGTACTCTCAGTAAAATGAAAACAGATTGTTCAAGAAGATACGAAATAAGAGAAGACAATAGAGTGGCATGAAAAAGGTTTAAAGAAACACAAAAATACCACTGACCATTTTAGACTGTCATTATAACTAACAAATAGAAGTGTTAACATTGCCAAAAATTCACTCTATGATATAGAAAACAGTTTTGAAAGACTTTCCCCAAAATAATAAGAGATAGACAATGACCAAAAAAGATAACAAGAAGGCTACACAGTCAAGATATTTGATATAAATAATTTATATTCCTGAATTCGAAACCAAGGAAGTGGAACACAATCAATTTAAAAATCTGTAATAATGGAAACATTCCTTGTACTAAGGAAATTACCAAATTCTCAATTTGAAAGACCTCACTGGCCAACAATCAAAATAATAAAAAGAAAACAACACCCAGGCATGGCATGATGTGATTAGTTTTCATTAAGGAGCAATTCTGAAAACATTTAAGGGAAAATAAACTAATGATTTTTAAAGGGTTATTTCACAATAACAAGCAAAATCAGGGTAGCCTTAATTTTTTTAAAGATTTTATTTATTTATGAGAGAGAGAGGGAACGAGAGAGAGAGAGAGGGAGAAGCAGGCTCCATGCAGGGAGCCCGACGTGGGACTCGATCCCCGGTGTCCAGGATCACGCCCTGGGCTGAAGGTGGCACTAAACCGCTGAGCCACCCAGTCTGCCCTAGCCTCAGTTTTTGAACATTAAGTATCAGTATCTACTTCTTGAAAGAGTCATTAAATTAAAACTTTAAGTCAAAAAATGTAATCCAATCCAACCTACTATTCATGTTTTCTGTTTAGCAATGGAAATAAATCCTTATAAATGCAGTGCAGAATTCTTATAAATGCAGAAAGAAAAGAAATGACTAATGGAAGTGATTTAGCAAATCAAGAGATGAAATAAAATAGAATTCAAGAAGAGGGAAGTCATAGTTCAAAAGGATTTTTAGTGAGTGTTGAAACCATTAATGAATTTTCTAATTAATGTAGTTGATTGATTTTTTTTAGTTGATGGATGTTTATGCATCTATTCCCCTACCATATCCAAATACCAGATGACACACCCTAAAGAGCATATGTGTATGTGTGATATGTGTATGTGTATATATATATATACACACATGCAATAATATATATATATATATACATGCAATAATATATTTAGCATTTAAATATATATGTAATAAAATCACAGAGCACTAGAAAAATAGTAAAGAATTTTTAGAAATTTCAGAAAGAAAAGTAAAGGGATTTAGGCAGACAGAAACAGAGCATAGTCCAAGCATCAGAAGTAAATGCTATTCTTTCTTGGGAAGTCTAGCAAAGAACCAACACATTTTTAAAAAATAGCCCAGAGGTGCCTGTGTGACAAGATGGTTAAGCATTAGACTCTTGATTTTGGCTCAGGTCATGATTTCTGGGTTGCACAATTGAGCCCCATCTCAGGCTCCATTTTCAGCATGGAGTCTGCTTGAAATTCTCTCTCTCTCCCTCTGTCCTTCCTCTCCTCTAAAAAATAATAAATAAAAATAAATCTTAAATAGCCCAAACATCTGAAGTAGATGCTCTTCTTTCTTGGGAAGCCAACAGAGAATGTGAACTTGAGACAGATAGTTTGTTCAGCTCCATCTTCATCCCCATCTGCATCCCTATCCCTTGTGTATACAGTACAATAGTGAGAACAGAGACCCAAGAACTGCTCTCTAGAAGCAATGGAGGATGTAAGAGCCAGAGGAGTAGAACAGAGACAAATGGTAGATATCCACAGTCGATGAGACAGAGAAGGGAGGAGCAAGGAAAGAGTGCTGAGAGAAAGCAATTCTCTCAGGAGGTAAATGCAATGAGAAGCTCTCCCCTGTGCAAAGTACTCCACCATGGTGACTGGAGGTGAAAATCCCCACCCTGGCTGCTTTCCACCCTAATGGCCTGGAGGGAGGTCTCTCTATCTACTGATAGAACTCACAGGCAGATCTTCCAGCTGAAGAAGTATAAGTAGGTACAAGCACAGAAACATGCAAAGAAAACCCATGAAAACGAATTCAAGTCAACTTAATCCCACCTTCAACTGAAGGTCTCATATCCTGAAGAAAAATAACACAATAAGATATGGGATGAAAAATGAATCAATCAAACTCAAAAAAAGATGACTCAAAGAACAAAACTGAATGAACAAAAATAATCTAAGCCATATTCTTAGAGAGCTCTATGAAGATATTATATCAACATATCAATTAAAGTTGATGTGAAAATAGAACAATCTTAAGGCAAGAAAATTTGGGAAATTCAAATTAAGATTACAAATGTAAAACTTGAGGAAATATTTTTGTATGTATAGTAAAAGCATAAGGATGTGGAAAATATGATTAAAAAGTTGTTAGAGACCTTAAAGATTAATATTATAGATTTAGTATATATGGAATTAACAAGAATTCTAAGAGGAGAAAAAAAAAGTCAATGAAATCTTATGTAATATGAAATTAAAGCTTAGAAGAGCAATTTTTTTTTCAGGATAAGCATGTAATGTTACCTACGGAAGACCACTGAGGAGTCATCGCAATCAGGAGGGGCCCATCCTTCTTTACACTGACACTGGAGCTCGTGGTCACACACCTAGGGAAGCAGTAATCCTGTTAGTTTCCACATTAATCTGACACCAATTCAAAGGCCCTATCCATCCATTCAGAAAAAGGACTAACCCTTGCTCTGTCTATATCTATCTATCTATAGCTATCTATATAAAATATGAATTTATCACAGGAATTTCAATACCAAGTTCTTCAAAGAAATTTTTTTTTCATTGAACCAAACTACGGAGCTGTTAAGGCAAACTTAATAATTTTAATCATTTAATGCTGGAACATTACTTTAGCATCATCAAGATTGACCTAAAATTACATTTCCAAAACTTACAGCATGTCCTTTGCACTTGGAGGAGCAATTGGTTGATTTGTATGCTCTTTCGATATCCACACATTCGGCATTAATGCAAACCTGAAAGTGATGTGAAAAACACCAACTTGACATCAATACTCAATGACTTCAGCTCTGTAAACTGCTGACTCTGTGGAATTTAGTCTTCTATTTTTACCCATGACTATTGTTATCAGACTTAGCTTTTTATTATGGAAATCAGAGCATTATTTTGAAAGTAAAAAGATGAATCTAGATAATTTTTATAAAAAATTTTGGTTAGTCCTCTAAAGAACACTTCCTTACTTCATTTATCTCTCATGGGTCCCTTAATCCACCTCTTTAGTCCACTCCTGAGACTGCTACTGTATTGCTGAGCTAAACATTGGACATGATACAGGACACCCATTCCAAACAAAAATATTATGGAAAATATGTTACTATCATATCATCTGCAATATTATAATACCTATCATTTATGTAAAATAAATAGTATTGTTATTATTATCTTAATTATTATCAGGGTGGCCATCATTTATCTAGAACCTACTGATTTAGGGTCAATAAAATTTACCAAGGTTTAATAATCTAGTACTGAGCACACAATAGTTATTTATTAAATAGTATTGAAGGAATGAATACATTCATGCATAAATGAATGGTATGAGTATTGCTTTGAAAACAGTGCCCCATGAAGCATAAGGAGTCCTTGGGAAGCAAAAAAACAAAACAAAACAAAAGATAAAAAACATTTTGATTAAAAGCTACATTTTCAACCTACCTTCTTGTTTCCACACTTCGTTCCATTGGCTACCATGCCTATTTCTTGACTGCTGTCTTCAGGATTAAATGTTTTACATGTCAGGAAAGTTACTATATGTCCTCTCCAGGGCAAATTATCTGACCCACCTTGACAGAACAACTTCCCACACATGGCATCACTGAGGAAAAGCCAAATTTATTGCAGTTGAAATACCAGGATCCAAATGGCAATTCTATGTAGTTCTAAATCAGCTCCCTACCAATATTTAACTAATCGTATTTCTCCCTATAGCTGAGACTTCTAGTTCTCCTTTATGTCAAATTTCTTTTTTATTCTTCAGTAATAGAACCACTGAATATGAGCAAGGCACATTTTCCTCAAAAACAAAACCTGCATTTCCCAGATTCCTAGACAGCTAATTTTGGCCAATTGCCTGTATTCTGGCCAATTAGAAGTAAGTAGAATCTTATGTTCAAATCCTTGAATCTGCCCTGATTTCTTATAAAGGAGAGACAATGGAATTTTATTATCCTTTAGGCTCAGGCAACCCAAAGGGTGACACTATGTCCAAAAATATAGTTTGGTAATATTTATCATCTGGAAAAATTACTGTTTAATAGAAAAACTTTGAGAATGTTAATCTTGTTCAGTCTATTATACATCACCTAGTATGTGTAAAATTTGGAGCAGGTACTAAGTTTAATCTATTATAATTTAAATTTTAAAAGTCATCTTGAGGGATCCCTGGGTGGCGCAGCGGTTTGGCGCCTGCCTTTGGCCCAGGGCACGATCCTGGAGACCCGGGATCGAGTCCCACATCGGGCTCCCGGTGCATGGAGCCTGCTTCTCCCTCTGCCTGTGTCTCTGCTTCTCTCTCTCTCTCGCTCTCTGTGTGACTATCATAAATAAATAAAAATTAAAAAAAAAGTCATCTTGAAATTGTATTATAAAAAAAAACCTTACACAAAACTCTCAACTCTTTTGCTTATGATATTATAGAATTTTTTTCCAGAATATCAATACAAAAAGTAAAACAAATTCTTCAGGTGAATTGTCAGTCTTTTATCTTACTGTATTTTTTCTTTCTGTAATGCCATGGCAAGCTTAAACAAAACTATACAAGCATTTTTTTGGATATCCTTCTGAGTAGATAAATATTTCTACTCCTAGAATTATAATGAAACACTTAGATGGAAAAGCTGCTAAGTTGTATTGAAAAGTCCACGTATAGATTTCCAGCCAGGTCCATTCACTGCTGCATGTTCCATCCAAACATTGCCTCTATTTAACAGTGACTGTACTTGATGTCATCTGAAGTTTCCACCATGAGGGACTGGAAAAAATAGTTCATTTCTTATTTGTCTTTTAACTTAGTGCCTAACCTAAAACATAGAACATAATAGTCACGTGAATGCTTATCAAATGAATGATGTCCAAATTAACTTTTGCTTTAATTGGAATAAACCAGAACATGTGTCTGGAAGTGTGTGATTTCTCTACTCTATGGAGCAAGAAGATTCAAACAACAAGCCACTTACCTTGCTTTGCAGGGGATAGGTCTGTCCTCCACTTTGCGACAGTATCCATACTTTGATCCACCTTCATTCCTGCTGTAGCACGATCTATCTGCAACCTTGGTCCCTGGAAGCAGGCATGGTCAGTAGAGACATATTAGAAATGAGATAAGTTATTCAATTCTACAAAGAATCAATGAAATATAAAATTAATGAAATGCAAAGCATATAAACTATATCAGCATAATCCCATTGACCATTGTCAGAAATAAAGGCTGCAATAGTTTGTTATTAAGAAAGCTGGCTAGAATTTAAAACAATTCTTTAGAGGTGCCTGGGTGGTTCAGTCAGTTAAGCATCCAGCTCTTGATTTCGTGTCAGGTCATGATCTCAGTGTCCTGAGGTCGAGCCCTATGACAGGCTCTGCACTCTTCTCAGAGTCTGCTTAAGATTCTCTCCCTTAAAAAAAAAAAAAAAAAAAAAAAAAAAAAAGGGATCCCTGGGTGGCGCAGCGGTTTGGCGCCTGCCTTTGGCCCAGGGCGCGATCCTGGAGACCCGGGATCGAATCCCATATCGGGCTCCCAGTGCATGGAGCCTGCTTCTCCCTCTGCCTGTGTCTCTGCCTCTCTCTCTCTCTCTCTCTCTCTCTCTCTCTCTGTGTGTGTGTATGACTATCATAAATAAATAAAAATTAAAAAAAAAAAAGATTCTCTCCCTCCGGCCCTTCCCACCTCATGCACACATTCTCTTGAAATAAATAAATAAATAAATAAATAAATAAATAAATAAATAAAATCTTAACAAACACATAAAATAATCCTGTAAATATTTAACTTTTGAATAGTGACTATCTAAATATTTGGAAATGTGGTTGATTTTCAGAAGATTCAAAAAAATCCATCTAAATATGAAGACTAGCTAGGAAAGCCACAATCATTATAGTAACCACCCACCAGCAGACATTGGAATGCTCTCCTGCTAATACTTGCTACTGTCACAATTATTTGCTATGTTTAGTCAAACTTCTGCTTTGTGGAGACACAGCAATAAGCATCACATATTTAATTTCTAATGCAGTCTTCCTTAGATTCCCATCAGACAAGCAATAGAACATAGTGCTTACGAGCTCAGGGGCTAAGCTGCAGCTGTGTGACCTTGGCCCAGTGCCTTAACCTGTTGGTTTATCTGTAAACTTGGATCATTTTACTGAATTTCATGTTTCAATGCCAAGATGATAAAATAAATTTTATTATACTTTCTTAACTATTTGATCTTAATAGCATTTATAGGCTCCCCATTATTATAACAAACTGCACTGAAAAATATTGAATAATTAGGCATGAATAAAAAGAAAAAGCATATTTGTAATTCCAAACTTCAGATTTATTGCTGCTAATATTGTGGAAAGTAACATTTATACACCTGGTACCACGCTGCTTCCCAATTAATAGTATACTTGGCCTTTCCCCAGTAACTAAATATTCAGCAGTATCATAGCTCTGAAAGTCTAATTGGAAAATTTCTACATTTTATTTGACTAATGCTTTTTCTTGAGCTTTGAGATGTTTCCCAATTATCCTTCATCAATTTTAAAAGTGCTCACCAGGCTATAAAATGAATGAATAAATGAATGAATGAATGAATGAATAAATAAATAAATAAATAAATAAATAAATAAATAAATAAAAGTGCTGGCTGAAAATCCTTTGTGAAAAAGTATTCCTGAATGCACTTTCTGGGGAAAGCTGTACGTTTTCTTTTTAGGTTGTACATACGGTTTTCCAAGTCATCCTGGAAAGACTGTGCTAATTCATGTCCTTACCAGAGTGTGTAAAACTTGGTGTTTTGACACATCTTGACTGAAACTGAGCATTAACTGTAACAAAATTTTGTCAATTTGATAAATGTTGAAGGAAATCAATTTTTCATTCCTATTTCTTACTATATTTGCATTTCTTGACTCATCAATGTGTCACTGTTTCATACTTCTTGCTAGTGCATTAAAATGACTTTAATGTTTTTTAGACATTTGCACTCCTTTATGACAATTTATCTGTTAATGCCTTGGTCACAATTTCCATATTTGAATTGCAAGTGATTTATAGAAATGATGTGATATCGGAGAGAGTGATCTCCCCCTTATATATAAGCCTTTTCAAACGTTGAAGATTAATTTGAAACAAATTTGTGATCCCTTCTGAATTACAAAATTTGGAATTTTATTTAGGGCAATCTGCCTCTCTGATCTTTTATACAAGCTACCTTTAAATGTGTGATTTAAACAATCTTTCCTATTTCAATATTGGATAAATATGTTCAACATTAATTCAATAATTTTGAACATTGAAAGTCAGGCAATGTGCTAGGACACACTGGGAATACAGTTGTGAACAAAATACACAGTCTCTAGGTAGTGGGAAATTTACAGATTTACAGGGGAGGCAGACAGTAAAGGATCAAGCAAAAGAAGAAAGTTGTAGTCTTTACTGCAGTGATTTATCACCAGATAATAAAGGGGATGCTCAGAGCTTCAGCTCTGTGCAGATTTTCTTTCCCCAGTTTCCTGCTGTATGCCAAAGTTAGCCAAGGAAACACAGGGTCTTTCTTTAACCCACACAACCATCTTTGTTTCCACATGTAACTTAGCGTGTATGTCTGCATGACCTGTTAAGCAGGAGGGCTACTGAGGCCAGATTCCAGCACACTAGGGTCCTTCCCCACGCACCAATGGTTATCAAGCTTTGCTCCTCAAATTGTGCCTCAGCCCACTCTTGCCTGATACAAAGGGTTTTATTCAGAAAGTCTTCAGAGTTTTAATCCATGTATTTCTCAGATTGCCTTTTTACTGGGTATATTGTCAATCAGTGATGTTCTGCTTTTAACTTCTTTTTTTTTAAGATTTTATTTATTTATTCATGAGAGACAGAGAGAGAGAGAGACAGAGACATAGGCAGAGGGAAAAGCAGGCTTCATTCAGGAAGCCTGATGTGGGACTCAATCCCAGAGTCCTGGGATTATGCCTTGAGCCAAAGGCAGACGCTCAACCACTGAGCCACCCAAGCGTCCCTTCTTTTATGTATATTTTCAGGAATTATGAAAAGTTCGTGGCATGTGAAAACCTTTTTCAAGTATTTTTAGGAATATGCATTTTCCCTATTAAAACATTCCTTCAGTTATTTAAGTAAGTGTAGTAGAGGAGGGTGTGAAAATTAAAGAGGTGTGCACAATGGACATCGTATACAGAAAGTCCAAAGAACTGATATTTTTTAAATTGCCTTTCCAATTTAAGTTTTGGTTTATGGTTTTGGAGATTGTTATGTTTTTATTTTTCATTTCCTTTTTATGGTATAATCAGAGAACATTGCTTATAAAATTCTATTATATAGCTTTGCACAGTTGCAGTATCATAGTCAATGAGGTTCATCTGAGGTGCGATTACTAATTTAGAAAACTAAAATTCCAGTATAATGGGCAAAATGAGCATTCAAGAGACTTCACTTTTCCAAATTGCTCCTCTGAATTCCCACAGTCCTTCTTTTCTTTTCTCCTTCTCTCCTTATGCTCTGCCCATCTCCCAGCACCCCTGGCACCCCTACACACACACACACACACACACACACACACACACACACACACACTTCTAAGAGTGTACTTATCTGAGAAGGATCTTGATCTGAGAAGGATCTTGATACTCAAATTTGTTTTTTTTTTTTTTAGTTTTTATTTAAATTCCAATAGTTAACATTAGTTTCAGGTGTTCAATACAGTGGTTCAACACTTCATATAGCACCTGGTGTTCATTACAGCAAGTACACTCCTTAATTCCCATCACCTGTTTCACCCATCCCCTCACTCATCTTCCTCTGGTAACCATCAGTTTGTTCTCTATAGTTAAGAGTCTGTTTTTTGGTTTGCCTCTTTTTTTCCCCCTTATTTGTTCTTTTGTTTCTTAAATTCCACATATAAGTGAAATCATGTGATAGGTCTTTCTCTGACTCACGTATCTCACTTAGCTTTATACTTTCTAGCTCCATCCATGTCATTGCAAATGGCAAGATCCATTCTTTTTATGGCTGAGTAATATTCCATTATATATATATATATATATATATATATATATACCACTCTTTTATCCATTCATCAGTGGATAGATACCTGGGTTACTTCCATAACTTGGCTATTATAGATAATGTTGCTATAAACATCAGAGTAGTGTATCCCTTTGAATTAGTATTTTTGTATTCTTTGGGTAAATCCCTAGTGGTGCAATTGTTGGACTGTAGGTAAGCTCTATTTATAACTTTTTGAGGAACCTCCATACTATTTTCCACAGTGGCTGCACTAGATTGCATTCTCACCAACAGTGTCGAGGGTTCCCCTTTCTCCACATCCTTGCCAGCACTTATTGTTTCTTGTGTTGTTGATTTTAGCCATTCTGACAGATGTGAAGTGATATCTCATCGTAGTTTTGATTTGTATTTCCCTGATGATGAGTGATATTGAACATCTTTTCATGTGTCTGTCGGCCATCTGGATGTCTCCTTTGGAAAAATATCTATTCATGTCTTATGTGTGTTTTATAACTGGATGATTTGTTTGGGGGTGTTTGGTTGTATAAATTATTTAAATTATTTATATATTTTGAATACTAATCATTTATCATATATGTCATTTGCAAATATCTCCTCCCATTCCATAGGTTGCCTTTTAGTTTTGTTGATTGTTTCCCTCACTGTGTGGAAGCTTTTTATTTTGATGAAGTTTCAATAGTTTCTTTTTGCTTTTGCATCCCTTTCCTCCAGAGACATATCTAGAAAGAATTTGCTATGGCCGATGTCAAAGAGATTATTGATTATGTTCCTCCCTGGAATTTTTATGATTTCAAATCTCACAGTTAGGTCTTTAATTAATTTTGAATTTAATTTTATGTATGGTGTTTAAAAAAAGTGGTACAGGGATCCCTGGGTGGCGCAGCGGTTTAGCGCCTGGAGACCCGGGATCGAATCCCACATCAGGCTCCCGGTGCATGGAGCCTGCTTCTCCCTCTGCCTATGTCTCTGCCTCTCTCTCTCTCTCTCTCTCTCTCTCTCTCTATCATAAATAAATAAAAATTTAAAAAAATTAAAAAAGTGGTATAGTTTCATTCTTCTTTATGTCTGTCCAGTTTTCCCAACACCATTTGTTGAAGAGACTTTTTCTCATTGGATAGTCTTTTACTCAGTTTTACTCAGTTAAATTTGAATTTCAGATAAAGTTTTCTTAGTGCAAGTTTACTTCAAATATTTCATGATACATGCAGATAAGAAAAAAATTGTTAATCTGAAATTCAAATTTAACTGGGCCATCTTTATTTTTATTTGTTGAATCTAGCAATCCCCAAATTGATCTTATGTCTTAAGATGTATTTATCCAGGATTTTGAGCTGTAGCACAGTTTCTAAGAAAGAAGATTGGGTCAGAATACTACTTTGGCCATGATTAAACACTGCCACCTGTTATAACATGATTTTTCATTGCATGTGCATACAGAGGGGCAGGAAAGCCAGCAGCACTGAGGCTTGTCCTCCTACCTGATCCCCATAGCTCGGTGCACTGCTCCTGCAGCGTGGGGCACAGCCCCATAAAACAGTAGCCCTCCCCATTTTGGCAAGGGAAGCCATTGACTCGGAATCTGTCATCAGGGCAAATACCAGATTTGCCATCACACATTTCCGGCAGGTCACACTCATCTTTTGCTGGTCTGCACACTGCACCAGCCTTTTTAAACTGCAGGGAAATAAAAATGAAGAGAAGGCTTTTTTTCCATCTGACTTACTCTAATGTATCTCAAATTAATGCAAATAATATTTTTCCCTTTGGCCTTTTATTGGCAAGCTCCTTCGAGGTATCATTCTATTCCATCCCACATCTGTGCTATGTAAACTAAAGACATCCCCTATTATATTATTTTTATTGACTTCTCCCAATGGCCTAAGTCTTCAAGTAATCAATATTTCTGAATTTATAGAGCAAGCACTATAGAAATATCAATGAGAAAGGTATAGAAGAAAACCAAGCCTCATTTTAGATGCAAAGAAGGGATTTTTTTCCTTTGCTGAATGCATATTTGTCATGATTTTCAAGGAGATTTACATCTGCAGCTTCGGAGATTTACTGGTGAAGTGAATCTTCTGTATTAAGGAAGGTACATTTACAAGCACCAGATCCGTGTGCTCTGAGACTTTCCCAAGCATCATGTTTCCTAATCCTAATTCCTTTTATTTGCTCAAATATTTCTTTTTAACTCCTTTCTTCCTATGCAATGATTTATTATGGGGGAGAAATAACCAAATATTCATTTGATGTATTAATTCCATGGCAATCTACTACTGCAAATCTTGCTCTTACTGCCTAAGAGAAAACTTAGTAAAATAAATTCTGCTATTTACGCAGATCTGAAGAGGTACATCTTTCCCTACTGGAGGTGAGCAAGTGTGCTCCCCTATCATCAGAAAATTTACAATATCTTTACATTGATAACAGAATGGAATCCAAAATCTAATTATATCATACAAGACCCTCTAAATTCAACCCCCACTACTCCAGCCAGACTAGCTTTCTTACCAGATATCACATAAGCCATGCTTATACCTCCTGTCCCATTTTTATTTCCTCCCAGCCTTCTAATTTAGGAATTTTTTCTCTTTTTCTGTACTTATCTAAAATCTATGCATTACGTTAGGACAGCCTCATTTTCCAGGAAGCCTCGTCTGATGTCTTCAGGGCACATTGCTGCCTTTCTTTCTACACATGGTGGGAAGAGCCCTGAATTCAGATTTGGAAGATAGAGGTTTGAATATTGGCTCTCCCAGGGGCTAGGAATATACCTTAGAAAAGGGAATTAATCTCTTTGAAAATCCATTTCCTGAACATCTACTATTTCCTTTACAGAGTCATTATGAAAACTAAGTGAAAATATAAGTGGAAAGTATTACACAAAGGGCTTATATCCTTATAATGTCTACTTGGGCATTAAATAATGCATTATATTTTCACCTGTTTCAGGTATGTATAGCATTACCCTAAAGAAACAGCATGTTCTTTGAAGTCAAAGACTACTTTTTTAAAAATCTTTTACAATTTCCAACAAATAGCACATAATCACCACTTGTTGAGTACTACTTAAGTTCTCAAATTTTCTTCCTTTTGGCCTTTTATTTCTTTCCATTCCCCGATTTAAAAAAAAATTCCCAAACACTACCTATAAGCTGGTATGCCATCTATCTACACATTCCTTCTGCAGACAGATTTTGAGCATTTAAAATGTATGAAACTCTGTGCCAGGTGCGGATGAACCAGCCCCTTGCCCTCAGAAGCCAGTCTAACTAAGGAAACATATATAAACAAATAATCATAATAGAAAATTCTATGCAATGATAGAATGTAAAATCCTAAACTTGAACCTGAAACGAAAGGCAATAAGCTTTGAAGAGAAAATGATACAGAATCATCACTTTATGTCTGTGTTCTACTAATTTCACCCTGAAATGACTTCAAAGTCTGAAGTCAAGGGAGATCCCTATATTACCTAAAACAAAAGCTTTCCCACCAAGCCCATTATTAAAGGAATATGCAATCAATTATGAGGTTTGGTGCAAGAAGGCTCTGTGGTATCAGAAGCAGTGGCAGGTATTGGCTTTGGAATTGGTCATATTTGGGGTTTGCGATTCAGTGGCCTATTATTTTGCACATTTTCTATTCTGAGCTTCTGTTTCTTCAGAAGCAAAATAAGATAATAATACCTAACCAAAATATTGTTGGGGGATCAAATAGCCCATGTTTGTAAAGCACTTGTATATAAATGGTAGGCACTGTTATTTTATAGACAGAAAATTGGTGCTCTGCTATTTCATTTAACATAGTCCCTGAGATTTTTGATATAGCAAAATAAACAGTAATCATAATTATTAAAGTGGAATAAAGGGACGCCTGGGTGGCTCAGTGGTTGAGCATCTTTCTTTGACTCAAAGTGTGATCCCAGGGTCCTGGGATAGAGTCCCACATTGGGCTCCCTGCGGGGGAACCTGCTTCTCCCTCTGCCTATGTCTCTCCTCTCTCTTCGTGTCTCTCGTGAATAAGTAAATAAAATCTCTAAAAAAATAAAGTAGAATAAAATAAAATCTTACCTGGCATTTTTCACAGCATTCTCCTATTGCACATTGAAAATTTGCTTTGATTTTACAAATTTTAGCATCACAGCAAATGTTGGTACATTCCTAAGAAATACCAGAAACAAATGCAAATGGTGATTGAGTCTCATTTTTTTTGCTCTCATTTCACCACATAATATAAATAATATAAATTTTTATATTATTTATAAGTTTTTCATCACATAGCCCCTACTGTGATATAGGCTGAAAATAATTTTTGGAAAATAAAAGAGAACAAAGCTCAACATTAGAAAAATATACTTTGGATATTTTTCCAAATCCAGCGGTTTGTCATGTATCTGAATTCTACTGACATCTTTTTAAATTTTATTATTTTCTCTAGTTCACTCAGCCTCCCATGGTAGTACTTGATCTTTTTTATTTTTTGGTGAAATATGAGAGAAAAAAAAAGGAAAAAGAATAGTTTTTAAAATAAAAGTTATCTAAATAATTAAAAATGTAATTAGTTGAGCTCATTTGTTTTATCCAGCAATATATTCAATCTCTAGAATATGTACTAAAAATCTAAAAGTATAATTCTTTATCCAATTTTGACATTTAATTCAACTCTGCATCAAGCAATAGACTGTCTTGCTCTCCCCACCTGGTTTCTGAGAAACCAGGCACCTGCACGAGGTTTTGGGGAAGCTCCTACCTCAGAAACTTCCTCTTATAATTGTTCAGTTTCCTTAAGAGAGTGCTATATTTAAAGTTACAATTTTTTAGAGCTAAAACTGTTGTCTTTATTTAAAATATAAGCATCATTTTGGAAAGATTTCTCTTTTTCATAGAATGAATACATTTGTGGTCATATTTTGAAATTACTGAAGAGCTGACCCCTTGAGGCCTTAACATGTCACTCATATGAAGTGTTGATAAAATGGGGGCAAAGGTCCCATTCAGACCCCTGGCTGCCCTGTCAATAGAGTGGGATCAGGCTAGGATTCCTAAGGGTAAAAACTCTTAAGTTGCAAAGTAAAGAACTAAATCCTAGTGCAAGGTGGCTCTGGACAAACATTTGAGTCTACATCTTGACCTTTCCCTTTACCAGCTCTGTGACCTTGGGCAAGTTATTTACATCCTCTGAGCACTACTGCAGTGCTGTGCTGAAAGTAACTGCTCGGTAGGTCCTAGGCACATAAGAGAGGTGAAGTATTTCTGCCAGAAAGGGAGGGATGAAGATACAAAGCCCAGTTGTTAACTGGTTATTGAAAAACAGGAAATGGAGAAAGAACCCCAAGAAGGAAATTAGGAAGGTCTGTTAAGCAATGTAGTATTCATTGTTAGAAAGGTTGGCCTGACAAATGTCTACAAATTAACATATGCAAAATTACAAGAAGTGTCCAATTTCAGAGTAATAATATAGTTTTATAGTATATCTTCTTAGCAATTAAAAGACAAATTAGATCACTTTAGAAAGTATTTGGTGGTACCTCCGGAGTCCCACAATCACAGTCCTCTCCCATTTCTACCACCTGGTTCCCACAGATTGGGATGGATATGATATCAGTGGGCAATGGGGCGTTGAAAAGGCAATTTGATAGTTTGTCTTCAAAGAACTTGTCATAGCTGACACGGCTGCAGGAACTGAAGTCTGTAGGTATGTAGAAGCTATGAAGATGAAGAAAGAGGAAATGGAACAGTCATGCTGAGCATGAAGGGAGCAATATCACATTGAAGATAACGCCCAAAACCTGCCCCAAAAGATTAAACCCAATCCGCTGCCCAACTGCTACGTTATGAGCTCATTTGTGCACCTGCATTAGCCATCCTGGATGGACACAAACACTTCCAGCTTAATGGAAAACTATGTCAGATCTCAAAGTGTAGCATCTAGGCTACTGTTTAAAAAAAAAAAGATATTTCTGACTTATCCAGATAATCTTATTCAGCCTTAGGCCATTTTGGTTGTGAAGTCCTAATGGTAGTAAAGTCATATTTATTTATGTGTCTCAGAATTCACTTTCCTCAGAGGAATTACTTTGGACAGAATGTCTTCAGTTCACAAATAAAGCTGAGGTTTAAAAATGCAGGAGTATCTGGGAGAGATAACATAAGATATGTGCCTGGCATGCCACCACAATGCTACTTTGTGGAAGGGTGTGAGAGACTAACCCTAGATTGAGTGAGATGCAACAGGCAATGAAAACAGATATATAAAGGGGATTGTGGGATTTTGAAAGACAAAATTCCCTGGTAACTTTGTTTAGGCAAGGCAGGAATGTATAATCTCTCTGTCCTCCTGCAAGGATGTTCTTCTTTCACTAGATTTTTTTCGAGAACCACTCAATCTGAATTCATTGAAAATTTGATAAATACTAATGATTTCCTGAAACCAGGTCTTGTGCAGATGAGGTGAAGTAAAAAATGTCAATCACCCCAGCAGCAAAGACACAATATGTTTGAATGATGTCTTAGGTAATGAAAAATATTGCATATAGATGAGGGATAATGTGGTTTGGCATAGATATGCATTCATGATTATACTATTTAATATTTAAAAGCTTGAATGTGTTGCTGAAGATGACATGAAAGATAAAGCACAGCCCAGAGTGAACCAAAATCAGGGACAGATAGCATCTTCCCAGAGAGCCTCACCTTAGTGCTCTGTCCATCACACATATTGTCGAAGGGCACTTGCAAACATAGGAGTCATGAAACATTCCAAAGTTATGGCCCATTTCATGGGCCATGGTCCCTGCTACTCTAAGCACGTTGCTACTGTGGTCCTAAGAGCAAGAATAGGGAAATAGATCCTCTGGTTTTCAAACTAAATTATCACTCAGGGTATAATTAATTTTACTAACTGGGGCAGAGAAAATGATTTTACCTTTGGCTTTTTCCCTGCTCACCATTTCTCTTTCTCTTCCTCCCCTTCTCCCTTCCTCCTGCCACATGCATACAGGCACGCATGCACACACACACACACACACACACACACACACACACATACACACACACACAACTTTGGTACCAAATACACATCACTGGGCACACTGATTGCTCTTTATTCTTGTAAATGGAGAATATTTATAATAAGCAACGTTTTGTGGTTTCCTGCCATGAGATATAGTGACTAAATGTCTTCAACGATGATAAGGAATCAAAAAATTTTAAAACAATCTACCCCCCTCCCAGGCTTGCTGTTAATGTCTTCTAATTTGATGGGAAGTCTTTGATATGTTTAGCTAAAAGGGACCTGAAAGTGCTTGTAACCCAGGACTTTAATACCACTGGTATCTCTATCAAATCTGTTACTGCCAAGACTAGATGTCAGTGACTTCTAGACTTGCCCATTGCATGAAGTCCAGCCAATAGCCAACTTCATTACCAGATTATTTCTGATGAGAAGTGTTGGACTGGGAGCTCCAGGTTTTTCAGGAGCAATAAAACAGTACTAGAGAATCACTGCAGGCTGTAATTTCCCAGTGAGGAGACAGGAATCTGCCATTACATCCACCCACTGAAACTTGATTTCCTTCTCTACTACATTCCAAAGAACCAAACCAAGAAATGCATATGGCATGGTACAAGACTAGCAAACAAGGAACATCTGTGTAAGACAGGAAGGTAATACTTACAATTCATGATATTGTATCATTCTATCAAGATGAACCTGGTAAACCTTGCTATTTAGTAAAGATGGAGTTACTCAAATGGGGACAAAAACAAACAACAACAACAAAAAAAAACTAAGAAAAACTGGAGATATGTTTAGATTTTATACATTGCCTTATTTGAGGTTCCTTAAATTTATGGTATCTTCCTTTAAATAATTATTTTCATAACCTCTATGTTTCTTTCATTTCAGATGAACTCTATTATATGTCTCTAAACTTTACCCACCCTTTGAAGTTTACTTTAAAGCAAATTTCCTGACCAAATTAACCTTCATCAATAATCCTCTTCTCTGGATTCCTACTGCAGCTTTCAATTCTACTATCACATATTATTAAGTAGTGCTTTAAATGGTCTAATTTCTTTTCCAATTTTATGGTAAGCTCTTTCAAGTCAGAAAATATATATATATATATATATATATATATATATATATATATATATATATTTTAAATATATTTTTTACTTCTGTATACACACACACACACACACACACACATATATGTATATATATATATGATGAGAAGTCTGGTGTAAACTTTATATTTTTTGCTCTGAAATGTGTCTTTTTTTTCTATCTCAAGATTTCCCCTTTCTTTTTAATTTTCATCAGTTTGATTATAATTATGGTATAACTAATTAGGTTTTTTGGAAAAATGGGTAATTTTTCATATATGTATATATATATATATATATATATATATATATATATATATATATATAGAGAGAGAGAGAGAGAGAGAGGTCTCTACCACCTGGCAGTGGAGTAGGAACACTATAAGGACCTACCCAAGACACTAAGGAACTCCAGACTGAGGCTTAATAAGAACAAAAGAAAATATCCCCCCTGATCAAAAGTCTAATCATCATCAATAACAGGTAACAACTAGCTATTGAGAGATTCAATAGCATAAATTCTCTGGGGAATCCGGAAAGACCTACAGATGAGTGTGAAACACACACTGAGAAAAATCCTCTGAAAACCAGCCCTCACCCTAAATACAAAACAATGTTAGAGCAATTTAAAGCCTGTGATGTACTGAAGGCAATCATAGCAACAACAACAAAATCCCAAACCCAGCTCAACTCCTGCTACATTGATTCAAATCCTCACACAAGAAGCCTAGCAGAAGGAAAGAAATGTTCATTTCCAGGCCAAAAATTATACACACACACACACACACACACACACACACACCTCAGACCAGTGTCTTTCACAGCATGTCTGACTTTCAACAAAAAATAATAAGCATCCAAAAGAAAGAAAAGCAATACCCTGCCAATCAACATATCCAGATTCATATCTGACACAGATGTTAGAACTATCAGACAACACTTCAAAACAACTATGATTAATATGTTAAAAGCTCTAGTGGAAAAGATGAATATCACACAAATCTAGATGAGAACTTTCAGCAGAGCTAGACACCATAAGAAAGACTCAAATGGAAATGTTAGAAATGAAATAGTAACAGGTGAATGAGGTATTCAACAGGCTTAAGAATAGATTCGGAATAGCTGAGAAAAATAATCACTGGTCTTAATAGTTCTACAAAAATTACCCAAATGGAAACACAAAGTTCAAAAAAGAATAAAAAAGAAAACAAACAGCAGAACAGAGCATACAAGTTTTGAGGGACAATATAAAATGGTCACAGACATATGTATCCCTGGAAGAAAAAGGGGATAGAATGAAATAGAAGAAATATTTGAAGAAGTAATGCTTGAGAAATTTCCAAAACACAACAGATACAAGCCCTTGGTCCAAGAAGTTCCGGGAACACTAAGTGGAATAAATTACCCATTTTTTTCCAAAAAAAAAAACTACTTAGTTATACCATAATTATAAACAAACTGATGAAAATTAAAAAGAAAGGGGAAATCTTGAGGTAGAAAAAAAGACACATTTCAGAGCAAAAAAGATAAAGTTTACACCAGACTTTTCATCAGGAACTCTGCAATCCAGCAGACAGTGAATTGAAATCATTAGAAGTGCTCAAAGAAAAACCCAGAATTACAAACCCAGTGAAAATATATACAAAACAGAAGTAGAGGTAAAGTCATCTGAAAGTAACTAAAAGAATTCATTGACAGCATACCAGTATTACAAGAAAGTTTTTTTAAATCTTCTGGTAGAAAAATATATATACCAGACAGAAACTTGTAGCTATACAAAGAAATGATGAGTGTTGGGAATGTGATAAGATGAATGTAGGTAAATATAGATAAGAATAATACTATTTTTTTCTTATTTTAAATTGCATTGGGAGATGACTAAGAAAAACTAATAATAATATATTGTGTATTTATAATGTATGTGAAGTTAAACACATGATGACAATAGCACAAAAAATGGAAGGGAGCAACTAGGGGTATACTCTTGTACAACAACTCCAGAGTATTTATTTTTTCTTACAAGGTTTTTATGTATTTATTTTTTAAAGAGAGAATGTGCAGGGAGGAAGGGCAGAGAGAGAGGGAGAGTCTTAAGCAGACTCCACGTTGCACAGAGAGCCCAATGTTGGGCTCTGTCTCATCATTTAGATCATGAACAGAGCTGAAACCTACAGTCTGATGCTTAACCAACTGCACCACCCAGGCGCCCTGAGCACAAAAGTATTTCAAGGTATAAACAGACAAGTGGAGCTGTATAATAAACCAGGGCAACCATTAAAAATAAACAAATAGAGATAACAATGAAAAGCTAATAATGGAAATAAATAAAATTATTTTCAAAAATCCTTAATCCTAAGGAGAGCAGAAAAATGGAATGCGATGGAATATCAAACATGTAGCAAGACGGAAGCTTTTAGTCCAATAATATCAATAATTATATTACATATAAGTGATTTAAATACACCAAATAAAAGACAGAGAATGTCAAATTAGGTAAAACGTGAAGCCCAAGTATCTACTGTCTACCAGAAACCTTTAGATGTAGAGAAAAATATATGCTGAAAATAAAAGTAAGGAAAAGGTTTTATCAAGCAAACTTTAGCCACCCACAAAATGTTGGAGTAACTATAATGATATCAGAAAAAGTAGACTTCAGAACAGGAACATTTCAGGAAAAAAGAGAAATATAAAATAATAAATACATTAATTCTCCAAAGAGACATGATAACTCTATTTGTGATTTTGCTTAACAGAGCTTCAAAATACATTAAGGGATAACTTATAGAATTGAAACAATAGACAAATATACAATTACACTTGGATACTTAACCATTCTTTCTACATAAATGATTCAAAAGAACTGAACAAGAGGATAAATGAACTTGATGTAATTGGCAATTACTGAACACTCCATCTACTAACAGCAGAAGACATTCTTTTTTCAAGTTCACACGCAGTATTGATCAAGAACAAACCTCAAAAAGGTTTAAAATATCAAAAGTTTACTAAGGAAAATATTTTGTAAATACTTTTCCCAGACTATTAGGGACTGAATTGTGCACCTCCCACCCCAGTTCATATATTGAGCCTTAACCTCCAATGTGACTGTATAGGGCTTCTAAGGAGGTAATTAAGGTTAAATAAGACTGTACTCCTGGGACCCTAAAACAACAGGACTGGAGAGAAAGGGATGTGTGCTTGGAGGAAAAGCCATGTGAAGACAGCAAGAAGGTGGCCATCTGCAAGCCAATGGGGGAGACCTGAGGCAAAGCCAAACCTACCAACACCTGGATCTTGGAATTTTAGCCTCCAGAACTCTGAGAAAATACATTTCTGTTGTTTAAACCATACACCCCAGGGTATTTTGTTATGGCAGCCCTAGCAAATGAATACACAGATCATAACAAAACAAAATATAAAAAATCCATAATAGAAATTATTACAGTACACTTCTAAATAATACAGGAGTCAAAACGGAGATCAAAAAAGAAATTAGAAAATATTTTTAACTGAATGAAAATGAAAACACGCTTATCTAAATTGGATGGATTCAACTAAAGCAGTACATGGAAGGAAATTTATGCAATAAATGTTTGAATTTGAAAAAAGTCTCAAATGAACAATCTAAAATTCTTCCTTAAGTAACAGAAAAAGAAGAGAACAAATTAAATGCAGAGAAAGCAAAAGAAATTCAATAATCAAGACAAGAGTAGAAATCAATGAAACTGAAAACAGGAAAACTATGCATAAAGTATCAGTAAAGCAAAAGCTGTTCTTAGAAGTGAATAAAATTAATGAACCCTCACCAAGATTTACCATGAGAAAAAGAGTAATTACTAATATCATGAATGAGAAAAGACATCACTACAGATATAAAAAATTCTACGGATATAAAATAGGATAACAGGAATATTGTCAACATATTTATGCCAATTTAAATGAAATGGACATTTTCCTTAGAGACACAAATTATCAAGACTCAGTCAAGAAAAGATAAATAGCTTGAATAGTACTATATCTGTAGAAGAAATTTTATTTGTAGTTAAGAACCTTTCCATAATGAAAATGTCAGACCTATGTTATTTTACTGATGAATTGTACCAAATATTTTAAGAAGGAATAATTCCAATTTTACTAAAACCTGCCAGAAAATTGAAAAGCTGGGAACATACCAATTTATGTAACCAGATTTACCCTAATAACAAAATCTGAAAAATACAGAAGAGTAAAAGACAACTACAGGCTAATACCCTTCATGGTTATATAGAATATAGAAGTCCTCAAGATATGTTAGCTTGTTAAATCTAGCAAGATATAAAAAAAAAATAATGCATTATGGCCATGCTGCGTCTATGCTCGATATGCAAGGTTGTTTCAACATTTGAAATTCAATCATACTACCTATCATATCAACACACACACACACAAACTACATGATTCAGAAAAAAGAGCATTTGACCGACTTGACTGTAGAACCAACTATTTATCTTCAAGCAAACCTGAACAATGCCAACAGAATGATAAGGAGAGCACATTGTAGACATGAAAGCAAGGCCCACAGTTGTTCCAGAAAGTTTTGTTGCTCTGCAAGAAAGAAAAAAATTGATGTAACAACGTATGATTCTCAACTATATGCTCTACAGACAATTCATCCAGGACTCTAAATGCTTAACAGAGAAACTCACATTGTAAATAAAAACTTAAATATTTCCTTCAGGTTTTGAATTTGCAATAGACTTTTTTTACATGCCATGGTTGTCTTATCACCTAAATAGAGGTCCCTGGATATAATAATTTCAATACTTTATTTATATAGATAAATAAATCTTATTTGTACAGTATTATTGTAATGCATGCTTTGTTTTAATTTATGTCTTTCTTTCACATATTTTTATATTCAATTGCTTTTGTTTTCTTTTAGTACAGTTTTAGCTATAGTGGGATTTGGAATTTGGGCCCATGCTGGTGGTATTTGTGTTACTGAAGCATTTATGTTAACAAATATTGAAATATTTGTTACTGGAAAGGAATTTGAACCACTTGCATTTAGTTGCATAGATGATTGGTCTGGTCTTTTGTAATTTTAATTTCTTCTTTAAGTTTTGTTCAGTTTGTTTTTCTTTCAATTTGTAATGATTCCATGTGCTGCTTTTGTTGTTATTCTGCTATCTGTTCAAGATCCTGGGCCTGGGTTGTCTCTAATAGTTTGCAAAGAATACATTGTTTTAAAAATTCCTTAGTAAATGCAGTTACATAAAAGTTGAACTTATATTTTCCCACTTATCATTAATAACAGAAAGTATTGATTTTGCCATGCAAAACAAGGAAAAATAGAGAATTTCTTCCTGCTTTACATTTCCTTTGAAAAATTTTCAGATATCTGTTACTTGAAGTGGTATTTTGCAGTATCTATGATATTTTAAAGATTCATGGAGTTCATATCCTCTTCAAAAAGTATGTTATAAAATTACTTATATTCAAATCTGCATTTGTGTAGCTTTAATACCCACTACCAGCTCATTTACAATAAATAAAAATTTCTCCCATTATGGAGCTAGCTATTTTGGTTCCTCTTTTTAGTGAGTATAGTTGTACTACAAGGTTCTTACCCAGTTATGTTGGCTTGTCAGGTAAAGGCTATGACTTTCAGTTTATAAGGAAAGGGCAATTATTTTCTTCCATCATATCTAATTGGTACTTTTATCCTGTTTATTCTAGTCTAGTCAGGAAATCTATTTTTTTTTTGGAAATCTATTCTTGATATTGGATTGCCATTTTGTGCCCTCTTTAATGCCCATTGCACAGTTACCCCCCCTCCCCTCCAGCAACCCTCAGTTTGTTTCTTAGAGTTAAGAGTCTCTTGTGGTTTGCCTCTTTCTCTGCTTCCATCTTATTTTATTTTTCTTTTCCTTCCCCTATATTCATCTGTTTTGTTTCTTAAAATACACATATGAGTGAAATCATATACTATTTGTCTTCTCTGACTTATTTCACTTAGCATAATACACTCTAGTTTACATAATACACCATGTCATTGCAAATGGCAAGATTTCATTCTTTTACCCATTCATCTGTTGAAGGACATCCGGGCTCTTTCCATATTTTGGCTATTGTGGACATTGCTGCTATGAACATTGGGGAGCAGTGCCCCTCTGAATCACTATTTTTGTATCCTTTGGATAAATACCTAATAAATACTGTGTGATTTCTAAGCTTCAGTCATGAGAAATCTGGAAGCTTTCTCTTGGTCCTCTTTGAATGATTCTTCTAGGGGAAAACTGGTCACCTTGCAAAATATCCGAAACCCTGAGACTGCCATGCTGGAGGGAGTCCAAGTTAGCTACATGAGAGCTATATATACAGAGATGACCAACCAGTGCCTGTGCTTCAGCCATATCAGGCAAGGAAACAGACATTTAAGAAGACTTCTTTTTAGGTCAGGAAGTTATAGGCTGATATGTTACGTGTAGTAGATAACCAGCACAGAGTATTAATTAATTCTTATTTCCTGTAACAACTCCTGTTTTCTTAGGAAGTAAAACTTGAATAATTTTGTCATTCCTTGTGGCTTCCTTCTATCTGATTTCAGCTGCAAACTATCCAGTAGAATTTTCTTGATTTCTTTTGAGGGATATGCTCAGCAGTCTTGTCTAATTTATAATCACCAGATTTACTTCTCATTTTTCTTTTTTTAAATTAGTCATTTTAAAAGCAGGATGGTGGAGGTGGGGGATTAGAATGTCATATGCAATTTTCTTTCTGTCCTAGAAGTTTGTCTTGACTAGTGCTTAAAGCTGATCAGGTGTTCTAAAACATTGAAATAAAATTTCTCTTGCCATTATCTAAACCTGTCATTCCTTCCTGTATACCTAATCAAAACAGACAAAATTCCAATGAATCATTGCTAAGTTGTTAGCTTTTCTTTTAAAATAAAAGAACAAGGTAACTAAGGTAAGACCATATTCGCCATAAAATTCAAATGAGTATGTTTTAAACTTTTAACCCCCCGTGTAAGCCATTTCCTTTTACCCTGTACCCTGAGATACCACTTGGCTTTGTCAAGGCTTTGATAAGTTTCTATGCAAAATACCACTTAACATATAGAGAGGAAAACCTATACATACGTGATTAACTGAGCGATATCATGAGGTTTTCTTTTTTGGAGGACACTTCCCCTCCAGTTGGAAAAATTTTCCAGGGTGGAGCTTGCATTTGGGGTTATCTTTATTTTATCCTCATCATTCCAGATTTCTATACCGACTAAGGCCACATGAGTATTCAGCTTTTTATAAAGCTGTCCAAAGAGAATACATGTCAAAAGAACGACATAATGGTTGTATTATCTTTCAATATTTTCAATGCACTTTACATTTTTGAACTTAATAATAGCAGCACTGTAAAAACCTTCTTTCCAAACACACTTGTGAAATGTACCTGTGTTGCAAGGCAGACACTCTTAGCTATTTCAGGCCAGATAACTCCTTTTTTTTTTTTTTTTGAAACAAAATTCCCACGAAAACAAACTTCTCTTGCTTGCAAACTCAAGAAACATTCTAATTTTCTGTTAGTAGTTCATTACTATGACTTCAATTTAAGTGTATTTACGAAGTTAAGTGCATTTGCTTTGCAATGTTCTGAGTCATAGCAAGGTTGACGCAGTGGTTTGAACTCCAGGAAAGGAACATGCTATAAGAAGAGTCCTGTGTCTGTGAGTCACAATAAAGTAAGTAATCCTCTAATTCTTAAACCTGGACTGAACCAAATAATCTATAATGCACAGAGGATAACCTTTACAAATAATGAGCTAAACTTAAAGACAATATGCTTACTCTAAAAACAAAAGTTTAAATTGCTACTATAGTTTACAAAACTGTGCAGTGTTGGTTAGAGTGTAAACTTCTAGTTATTAGATGAACGAGTTCTGGGGATCTAGTGTACCACTTGGTAGTGATAGTTAATAATACTATCTTAATTACTTTAGCATTGGTGAAAGTAATTTTTAAATGTTCTCACCACAGAAAAGAAATGGCAGCTATGTGACATGATGGAAGTGTTGGCTCACCTATGGCAGAAATCATTTTGCAAGTAAGCATATCAAATCAACACTCCTAAAACTCACTGAGTGCTGGATGTCAATTATGTCACAATAAAGCTGGGGAAGAAAACACTGCACAGTGACAGGCTTTCTCATGGGGCAACTTCTGGCTGAGAAACGTGAAGAAACGGTTTTAAGTAGCTTAGAAAACAATAAGAGCATTGAGGAATGCAATTATCATCAAAAGAAAAGTCAGAATCTCACCAGATGAAAGCCCTCCCCTTGATGAGTCCCTCAACTTCCTGTTTCCATTCTTGCTTTATTTCACTCACCTGACAAAAGTCCAGTCCTGGTTCAAACAATTCCTCCCTACATCTCTCCTGCACCCTGCTCTGGAACACAGTCCATTCTGCTGACTGCCTTCACTTGGAAGCCATCACTATCAACCTCAAGTAGTCTTTACCAGTCTCAGTGAACCTGCTGCATTTCCAAAATCTATTTACTCTCAGAGGCTTCTGCACATTTTTTTTTTCGTGCTCACTCTTCTGTTTTTAGAAATTGTGACACTCTCTATTAAAACCTCACTTGAGCAGATGCCTCTGCTTCCAAATTCACTCAGAGTATAGAAGCAATCAGAAGCAAATGTCTACCTTCTGACCTATACCTATTCAAACAATCTATGCCTCCCCTTCTTTACTATATGAATCAATGCTGTGAGCCTAACCTTTCCACTAACGCACTAGATCTCCCACTTCTTCTCAGATCAAGGAGAGTATTCCAGTAATTCTTCCATCTTCCTTGCAATTCTATGCTTAGTCTTCCACGGAATCATTCCCATCAGCATAAAAAGGGTGACCCATCATGGTGGGGGGACAGTTTTATAGCCTCTCCCCCTATCACATATTCCCCATTCCATTCCTCTGCTCCCATTTACAGCAAAACTTCTGAAGAGGATTTTCTGTATCTTCTCTCTCTAATCACTCTAATTATGCCTTGTCCTCTTACACTCCACAGAGACTTGTGTCATCCAGTTGACCAATAACGTCTACTTTGTTAAATCCAATGGCCAATTCTGAGTAGCAACTAACATCATTGATCATTTCTTCCTTTGATAGAGTTTTGTTTCAGGTAGCTTCCAGAACAGCACTATCCACTATCCCCTGGTTTTCCTTGAAGCTCATTGTCTACTTTTTCTTGGTCTCTGTCAATTTCTTCCATACTCTGATCAATTTTCAAAGAAGCACCTCAAGGATCTGTTCTCAGTCTCTTAGTCTCTTTTCTACTTATCTACACCCACTCCTTTGGTTATCTTATAAGAGGGTTGGTAAGGTTAGTCTGTAAAGGTCCATAGACAATGCTTCAGACTTTAAGGCTGCATGGTTATAACTACTCACCACCACTGGCACTATAATAGAAAAGCAGTCATAGATGTGTAAACAAATGAGCGTGGCTAAGTTTCATTAAAACTGCTTTAATAAAGGCAGAGGCCAGATCTGGTCCACAGGCTATAGTATGCTGACCCACGTTTTGTGCTAACTGTATGTTTTAAAGACTTATGGATTTGTATCTCCACCCAAACCTTGCCCCTGAACTCCAATAAATCTTGTATATCTAGCATTTTTACTGGGATTCTTTCTTTCCTTTCTTCCTTTCTTTTTTTTGGCATCCATGAATCTTTGCTTTAATCTGCATTGATTCAAAATTTTACAATGATATAACCTGGCACATACATGTTACTAGATGCTAGACATGTGGAAGGCATTGACAATATGGACATGTCTACCCTTCATCTCAGGAAATTCCTAGTATTATTTCTCTGATTTTTGAAATGTAAAGTCTCTGATATTTTCATTTTTAAATGTAAAAATGTTACATGAAACATCATGCATATATTTTAAAAAATTACTTAGTCATAGGACACTTTTAATAAAACTTAGCAATCCACTGTTCATTACTACCCCCACTAAGAAGCAATAATATTTTTGTTGAGATATAATTGACATATAACATTATATTAGTTTTAAGTAAACAAAATAATGATTAGGACCTAGAAGCCTTTATACAAAAAGATGTCTCAAAGTGAATGTGTCCAAAATGGAAATCCTCATCTTGCCTCTGAGTCACTATCCCCCACCCATTCTTAAAGTTGCTCAGGCCCAAACCCTCAATGTCCCTTGACTCTTTTTTTTCTTATACTTTTCATCTCTCATCTACCTCATCTACTCTGTTGACTCTAACCAGAGATCAGCTATTCTCAAAAGACCTACTACCACTGCTTTTTCTCAAGCCACCATCATCTTTTGCCCTGAATCAAGTAATGATTTCCCTATCGGTTTTATTTCTGCCAATTGCTTTCCTTCAGTTTATTTCCAACATAATGGCTAATACAATCTTTTAAGAACACACATCTGAACGTCTTACACCTCAGCAGGTTCTCCCAATGTCTTCCTCACCCGTGAATAACAGTCCTTAAACAGGCCTACCAGGCGTTGAAGGTTCCAGACACTGCTACCTGTCAGATATCATTTGCTCCCATCCTTGCCCTGACTTACTGCATGCCAGCCACAATGGCCTTCCCCCTGTTCCTCAAATATGATGATCTAGGTTCTGTCCTTAGAACTTCACTCTGCCTTGTGGTCCCTCCCCGAGGATCAGGCACTTCTTTCTCTCCCTTCCTTTCTCTACTCAAATGTCACCTTGGACACCTTGGAAATGGCCTTCCCTCTTTAACACAGCACCAAGAGGAACCTCTCTCTCTCTCTCTCTCTCTCTCTCTCTCTCTCGTTTTTACACTGCTTTATTTTTTTTATAGCACTTATATCACCGTTCTACATACTCTTTATTTGGTGTGTTTATGTTTGTCTTGAACAAGAATGTAAACTCCTTGAAGGGTTATTTGTTGGTTTTGTTCTCCACTTTATTTCTGTCATCTAGAAAAGTCCCTGTCATGGAGCACCTGGGTAACTCAGTCGATTAAGTATCTGCCTTTGACTCAGGTCATGATCAGGTCCTGGGATCGAGCCCTGCATTTGGCTTCCTGCTCAGAGGGGAGCCTGCTTCTGCCTCTCTCCCTGCCTGCAGTTTCTCTGCTTGTGCTCTCTCTCTCTCTCTCTCTCTCTCCTTCTCTCTGTCAAATAAATTAATAAAAATATTTAAAAATAAAAAAGAAAGAAAAGCTCCTATCACAAAGGAGATGCTCAACTAATATGGCCAGTTTGGAGAGTTCTTTAAAAAGAGTCAGCATTATCTTTGTGGTGAAAAGACAAGATATGGATGGCATTGTTCATTAAATGTGATTTCAAACCTTCATTTTCTCTCTATTCTTAGAGAATTTGCAGGCTTTTACAAAGAGACTCACCCACTTAAGTAGGCAGACTAACTGTATGTTCAACTAACAAGACACTAAGATTTAAACAGAAGGGATACAGAAGTCATTTTTAAAGGGTTTTGTTAATTAGATGATAAAGTCTTATTTACAGACCAAAATCAAAATCTTTTCAATTGAAACGGACTTTGAAATCCAACCAGACCAAGTTAAAAATCTTATCTCTAGCATTTCCTAACTCTGATTTTAGGAGTTACTTTGCTTCCCAGAATCTAATTCTTCAGATATAAATTAGGTTTAGGAATATCTCAGAGTTATTTTGATGATTCAGTGAGATGATATACTGAAAGATGCTACTGTGCCGGAATTTGGCTGATTATATTTGTTTTTTCATGTTCTTCTGTACATTGGCTTCCTGTGGGGATTTGCTGGCCAGTGATGTCTCCCCAGACTTAAAAAAAAAACAAAAAACAATTCAAACCAAACCATCTCTTCTACTTTCATCAACCTGAGAATAGTATGGCCAGTAGGTGAGAAACATCTCTATCATATAATAGTAATATTCAATTAAGTAGCAAAAGCTCAAGAACCAATTAGCAATTTTAGTCTTAGGAGTATTGACTTTAATCTCGCTGCTTCATAAGCATTCATAGAAACACCCAAATTGCTAAAATTACACTTAATAAAGTATACCATACCATGTTGACGTAATTGGCCATTTCAAACACCCTCTTTCTTATTTTCTCTCGATCTTGATTGTACTTTTTAAACTAAAAAACAAAAAACAAAATCAACCATGACAAAATATGGGCACTGATAGAAATGAGTATAATTGGAAGGTAAAAAAAAGAAAGGGCAACTTCAGTTTATTTTTACTTATCAGTGGTTATAATTAACAATCAGTTATAAAAGGTAACAGTTAAAAGCTAGAAGCAAAATGCTTCCTTATTTCTTTAGCTAAATCAAAGCATTTTCAGAGTAGAGATGATGTTTACTCCTGAAGTAGTAGCTCAGTGTAAGGAATTATTCCAAATAAATTTCCATTTAAATACCATGATTTCATAAACTGTGCAGAATCAGTGTAAGGAATAGCTTATTCATTTAAAAAGTGTATATGAATGGTAAATGGCAAATGAATTTAGTATAATGAGAAGCCAACCTTTAGGGCCCAAACAAATTAACTTACTCATATTATCATGGCACAAAACTTTTCCTTTTGAGATCACACACATTTAATGTTAGGCTTCTAATATATGAAACTGCATTCTTGTAAAATAATATAAACAATGTATATTACCAAAGAAAAGCCTTTTTTAGAAGATTCCATTCATTAGTCTTGTACATTTATCACTCCTTGATGAGGATAAACTCTAACTTACCATCAATTTTACTGCTTAATAAAAGACAGAATGACAAAGGTATTTAATTGGAAACAAAGTTGGAGACAATAATAAAGGATAAAGTGCAAAAAATTGACTTTATGTATATTATATCAGGTGCACATTCTTGAAAAGGAGAAATCATATCATTATATTTCAAATTTCCTAGAATAAGAACATTTCTTAAAAAAGAATAACTCATATTCATGATTTTTCAAAACTGATCCATATGTTTAATACTTCCCATAACAAATTATATAAACGGGGATTTTAAAAGACACATTTATCTGTTATAATTACCTCACCATTATCCAGGACCAAATAATATTCTATGTATTTCTTACGTTCTGGACCCTTCTGGTCATTTGATTTCTGTAATAAATATAAAAAATAAAATTATTGAGACAACACCATTCTCTGCAAGAGTCATCCTTTTATTTGAAATGTGTAATTTTATAAAAGATTGTTTTTTAAAAAAAATTATAAAAGGTCTGGCAATAAAGGAAAACATACCATTTTAACTCTAACTAAGGAACCATAATTATCCACAGACAAGGCTCAGATATCAGAGCTTGAAGGGACATCAGTGGTAATCTAGTCTGACCCCTTCAATTTGCCAGAATTTAAATGATTGCACAGCTAACTAATAGGTCTGCAAAGTTTGGATTGTTTTTTTAACAATGGGCTGTCTCCACTATTCCTGCCCTGAAATAGAGAGACTCTGACTTTAGCACCCTTCTAGAGTTCTCTTGTTGTCCTTGTTGCTGTTGTTGGTGGTGGTGGTGGTTTTAAGTAGCCTTTTATCCCCTTCCCAATGAGCACCCCCTTCTTTAGCAATGGGCAGTGCCCAGAGCCACCAGGGTACTTAGTCTGCTCTTTTCTCCTTAGACTTAGCTGAATCTCTTTCCCACGTTCGAAGCTTCCCTATTTTCTGTTTCTTTTTCTCCACAAAACAAAACAACCATAACAAAAGGTACATTTCATAGTAGATTGTTTCAATGAAAAATAGCAGATACATTATTCATACTAAATAATAAACTATCAAAGTTTATTATGTTGCATTTCTGGAAGTGCTTGTCTTTTAACAGGTAAGTAAGCTTCCATTAGCAAGAACACATTATTGAAGGCAGACTTTTAGGTGTAGTTCAATGAGCCACACACTTCCCTCCCAGGGTCCAGAGGAGCAGCATATTCATTAGCACATAGTCTGTGCTCCAGCACAGTACTCCAGTGCTGTGGCCACTAAGAATAAGGCAGTGAAACAGATATGGTCTGTAGTATAAGGAGCTCCCGCTCGGCAAACAGGCAGAGATAAATCAGGTGGTCATTAGTTCTATGCAGAGGATTAAATGGAGTTATGTGGAATTGAGTGATGAGGTAGTTATTTTAGAATAGATGGTTAGGGAAAGCTCTAAGGAGTTGGTCATGCAGCAGACATATTAATGAAAATGAGAAACCAGGCAAGGGAAGATAAATTGGAAGATAATTCCAGCAGAGAAAAAAATGAACAAAAAGACTGAAGTGAATTGATATTGACATGTTTAAAGCCCAGGAAAAAAGTCTATGTTTGTCAGAACATAATAGGGGAAGTCGTCAGTGGGTGGGGAGTAGACGGTAGAGAGATTACAGAGGGAATTGGGGCCCTAATCATACAGGGATTTGTAACTCACTGTCATCCCTCCTCTGTTTGATCTCTCCATATCAGTGACCCTCATAAAAGCTCAACCCGGGGCCCCATTCTTTATCCATATATCCTTCCCATCCTGTGTTATACCTTCTTTAAATAGGAACTCTATCTATTTCATGCATTCATTCAAGTGTCTAATACCACAGACTTACTGTGGTCAAAATATAACTACCAATTCCCAAACCTCAGACAAAACTTGCTTCTCCCTCATTCTTCCTATCTCAGTTAACAATACTATCATTCATCATTTGCTCTGGCCCAAGTCTAGAAATTATCCTTGATTCTTTTATCCTTCATCGCTAGGAGTAGTTCTGGGTTCCTAGATAACACATCAATGGTAGAATTTAAACCCACAACAAACTGAACCCAAAGGAGATTTTATTTTATTTAGACTCATTCTACCCAGTTCTTATGGATTCTGGGAACATTTAGAAGATATGATTGGATGTAAAGTGTCCCCTGAAGGATATGAAAGTAATTATAGCAATAACTTTTTATTTACACCTTATGGTTTCAAACAGGCCATATTCATTTTTCTTCTGTGACTATAACTTGAATTCATATATGGAAGATTATTCTAAGTCCCTCTGGGCATAGCCTGTACTTAATTTTGCTCCCTACTACATTCCCAACACCTATGGCAAGAAAGAAATCTGTTGAGTGAGTTCATTTATGAAGACAGTAGGATATTTTATGTCAAAGTAATAATACTTTAAACCTTTTTTGTATGTTGTAGTATTGTCAATATTGGCTGTTTCTAGAGGGAAAGGCATATATATATATATATTTCTTTTAAACCCTGGCACATTGTTGTTGATAATAGCTAATCTGCAAATACTTATTAAATAAATCATCAGTGTACAACAAAGTTCTGATGTCTACAGCCTACCATAGTACTAAGAGTTCAACAATGACTATAAAGCTTCCGTTAATTGTACCTACTAAGACTGGAACCCTGGGTAGCCAGGACAGGATACATGAGAGCACTGCAAATAAAAAATAAAAGTAGGCATACCACCAGTCTGGTGGCAGGTAGGACCACACTCTGCCGAGATCCATGTGCCCACAATATGTTATCCATCCCACAGGTGCTGTTAGTCTTCTTTTCATGGGGATCATACTTGAAAAGTGCATGTTCCTGCCCATCATCATTGGTGGGGCTTAAAGGTTCAATGAGGTACTTTTGATCTCCCTGACTGAAGTAGCCCCTGAAAAACATGAGAATCCGGGCTTTTTAAAAAATATTTCTGCTTTTGAGTGCTATAGACTTATAGACTCCAAAAAGTTACCAATACCACATAATTTCAAGCTCATGGCAGTAGAATATACTGTAACATTGCAGCTAAAGATACCTAGAGATGACCTAAACTTATTTTTTTTCCTCCCAGCAAATGGGACCTATTGGGAAGAAGTGACTACTGTAATGTCACATAGCTAACTTACATCAGTGCTGACACTAGAATGGAAATTTCCTGATTCTTACCCAGTGGTCTTCCAATTCTAGTACCTTGTCTGCTCTACAGGTGCACTGAAAAATGAAGAATTTGGGGTCTGAAAAAGAAGAGTTAAGATTCTGTGTCTATAACTTCTTAGCTATGATACTATGGGAAGATTACCTAACCTCACATAGCCTCTCCATTTATAACATTAGCATAATACCTACCCAATAGAATGATTGTTAATATTGAAGAACATAATAAATAAAGCACATGATCAACAAATGTAACCAATTTCTTCTCAATTATCTCTGCTGAAGCCCCAGGCTAAGAGTCACTTAATCAATATTTAGGGAGCACCCATTATTCATTAGTCACTGGATTAAGGGCAGACAATAAGATAGAATCATGGTTTCTTTTCTCATGAAGCTTATAGTCAAATGAGAAAGATGTATGTGGATCAAATAGTCACATCTGACCTATAAATAACACAATTATATGACATATATGAAATACTCATAATTACAGATAACTGCTAGGATGAAAATGTATAAGAATATATAATAGGAGACTGGCTGAAGTGTACACAGAACTAGAAGACAAGAGTAGATATGAGGAGATAAGTAGGTGGTCTGTTGCAATGGTTTGATAAAGGATCATGGTAGTTTGGACTAAGATGTGGCAGTAGAGAAAGAATGTAGTGAATAATCTCAGCAAATATATAGAACATATAATCAATAGGGCTTAATGATGGGTTGAAAATGGGTAGTCGAGAGTCAAAAAATCATCAAGGAATTTAGGTTTCTGGATTGGAAAAGTGGTTGGTTGATTATATTATTTACTTAAATCAGGAACACTGGAAAAATACAAGATCTGGGAGAAAATCATTAGTTTGATTTGGAGTTTATTAAGATTTAGATTTCATTAATCTATCCAGATATGGAAGAGATACTGATATAGGAAACACAAGATTAGATAATCAAGTCTGGGCATCAGAAGAACTATCTCACCGTAGACAGATGTCTGGGGAGTCATTAATATACAGAAGAAAAGAATGGCATGGCCATGGTTAGGACAAGCTTAAGAAAGAGTTTACAGTAAAGAGAGAAGGTTGGGAAAAAAAAGAGAGAGAGAAGGTTGGATAAGAGCTCTCATTCCCTAAAAGGTTAGACTCAAAAATCTGTAATTTGAAAACAAGCAGACAAACATACACATCGCTGCAAGCAATTCAAATGTGTAAATTTACAAGCCACTATCAAGAGAAGCCCTGTTTCTTTTTAATTTCAAAATCCTGTAACCCTTCAGATTCATATTTAACTACAGTATTATTCATCATATTTGAGATTATTCAGGTTTATTAAAACACTCACACTCTGCCCACTACCACAGGTATACACAAACCGTTCATGAAGGCTTACCTTAGACCCCTACATGTGCTGATGCTAGCATCTGAAACCTTTTCATTAATGATGTGTCCTTGGTAATAGCAGTCATCCTAAATAAATGGAAATGGGGGTTTTGTAAAGGGAAGTGCATGTTTCTGAGATCCACTATGAAATTTTAACTTGAAATCTTGAAACAAGATCTATATTGTTTCCAAACCATTTTATGCTGAACAACAATCAACTTAGAGATGTAAAAAAATGGTCAAGAAGTTTCTTGGTTAAAATTTTTAATATTTAGTTAATTAACCCAATGCTTAACGAGAATTTCCTAAATAAATATTGGTTTTGCAGAAAAAGGACAATGGTGGTGAATGCAGTCTGGTAGAGACAAACTTATAGATAGAAGTTTAAAATCTGAGCTTTCAAAACATCAGACAATCATTCTCTCCCTTGGCTGATTGCTCATTAATGTTTTTTTTTTCTGACACCTGTAAGCTCTTTCCAGTGAATGGGTTATTGAGATTATGTTACTATTCTTGATTTATTCAAAGAGTTTCAGCAGATTAACTGGGTTAGTGTAACATCCACTTCTCTATATAGCCAAATGCCCAATCCTAGCACTTTTCCATGTGGATGTACTTTAATCAAGCACACCTTTCTACTTTGAGACAGATGAAGTACTGGCCCACATAAATGTCTAAGTTATCACTATGGAGAGAATGAGTGAAGGCCTTCCATGGAAAAATGGAGCTCTAAAAAGATGGCAACGATAGAATATACCCCCCCCACACTACTTCACAGAGCCATCTTCTCTAAATAAGAGTCAAGAATAAAAAAATATTTTCAAAAAACAGAATTGTACAATTCTGTCATTGAGGAAATAGTCTTGAGTTCAAGAGACAGAATGATCTACAGAGGTGATTGGCGTTGACTAAGAACACAAGATGTAATTAATTCTTCACTCTTCTAATGAAAATGAGAGGCTCCTTCCCACTCTCCTCTTCCAGTTGGAAGGCAGGGAATGCCTTTGTTCTTGTCAAACTGTACAAATATTAAAGTAACTATTAAGAAATTACTACTGCTGGAAATAGAAGATCTATTAAGAAATTACAACACCAATGTTGTAAATGTTGTTTCACTTTCACTATTTTTTTGGCAATGACACTGCCTTTGGGTGTGTCAACTGACAATGATTCTAAGATGCTCTTTTACCATGATTTGTGGGCTTGTGGTGATCTCTTCTCCAGTGGAATTATAATGTGTTTCCGTGTAACCGGGAGCAAGAAGACCTCTGGAATAAAAAAAAGAAAAAAGAAAAAAAATTCAGGCTACTCATGCTAATTGAAAAGTGTTGTGATCAGGCAAAAGGTTCCATTGGATGTGCAGGAAAGTTTTAACTCCTGCGGTCCTTCTCTAAAGCTCTCAAAACCAGTCCAAGCATGAAGAGGATGCTTACAACGCAAACACTGAGAGGGCTAGAGACATTCCTGAGCAGAGTAGAATAGTGTCTGCTTTCTCATCAGGCTTTGATACTTCTCAGGGGGGATATTTGAAGAAGAAATGTAACTGAGAAGGGTAGAGTTGCTAAAAATGATTGGAAAGAGCAGCGCTCCTCACCAATTTACCGTAACTACCTCCCCCCCCCCCCCCCGTCCTGTTTCAGTTCCCTGCAAAGGCTAGCAACTATAGCAACTGAAAGTTTCTTGGGAACTGCTTGTGTTTAGTAGCTGGGGCCCTTCTGGCATTTTCACTGAGCTTCTCAGAATTCTTTCAACTACCCAGAAGCATGTAGGAGTCTGGATATATATATATATATATATATATATATATATATATATATATATATTTTAAGATTTTATTTATTTACTCATGAGTGACAGAGAGAGAGGCAGAGACACAGGTAGAGGAAGAAGCAGGCTTCCTGCACGGAGCCAGATACAGGACTCAATTCCAGGATCCTGGGATCACAACCTGAGCTGAGGGCAGACACTCAACCACTGAGCCACCCAGGTGACCCAGGCTGAATATACTTTTTAAAGAGGCAGGGCAAGGAGGAAAGGGTGTAACCACTATATGTTAATGCTATCTCTGTATCAGCCACTAGGTTAGACACTTTACATAGATCACTCATTTAACACTTTCTGCAATCCTATAAGGTAAAGATGACTCACTTTATGTTTCAGAGGAGATGATACAGTTCCAGTGGCAAAAGATCATATCTAGGTCTGCCTAAAGTCCACACCCGTACTATTTCCATCCTACCACACTGTTTCCCAAGGTCATCAGTTGTGATTTTTTTGTTTGTTTGTTTTTGGGAAAGACAATAGTCTATTTGAGAGAAAACATCTTGCTGTGCTGTATAGAATAGTTTAGGGATTGAAAGCACAAAATTAGAGGAGAAAACAACTTTTGAAATAGTTGAGATATGGGATGATCAAGATCTGAATAAGAGCTGATTGGCAGCCCGGGTGGCTCAGCGGTTTAGTGCTACCTTCAGCCCAGGGCGTGATCCTGGAGACTCAGGATCGAGTCCCACATCGGGCTCCCTGCATGGAGCCTGCCTCTCCCTTTGCCTGTGTCTCTGCCTCTCTCTCTCTCTCTCTCTCAAATAAATAAATAAATAAATAAATAAATAAATAAATAAATAAAATCTTTAAAAAAATGAGTAAGAGATGAGCCAGTGAAACTGGAAAGAAATATTGAATGTAACTGACTGGAGTGAAGAAAATGAGGAACAAAAGGACGATGTAAGGCATGAGAAACTGGGTGGGTTAGTGTGTAGCTGGTGGAAGGAGCACTGAGGTTGGAATCAGGAGAGTCAAATTCTGGTTTTACTGCTGATTAAGTCTTTGGTCCTAGAGTTTATATAATTATATATGTCTTTTTTCTTTTTTTCCCCTGATGGAAATGGTAACAAATTGTTTTAAAACCTACTCTCAGTATTAGAATAATAAACTACAATAATGTAGAGAAGATTTAAAAATCTGCTTTTTCATAGAATTTGATAAAATGTATATCTGCTTGTATCTCATTCATTCTGTTTTATTATTAGAAGAATTGCAACACTAGTAAACTGTTGTTTTACTCAATGCATTTTCACTACTTGGGTAGGAACAACTATTTGGCAAACTCCTTGGGCTGATTGAAAGAAAAAGCATATTAGCAGAGGTTTTTGATAGCTTTAAGCAGAAACCGCCTCAATTAGCACACTTTCCACATGCTAATTTGCTGTTGGTAAGGAAATCATCAGAAGTAAAAACACTTACTTGTTTTTTTTCAAGTAAAGTACTGCAATTTTCCCATTAACAGTCATTTTATACTTCAATTCAGTTTCAAATTTTTCCTGCAAAAAATGCACAAACATTTACTGGTAGTTATAAACACATACAAATATTTATTTGGCTGTGTTCATCTTTTTTTATGTTCATCTTTTTAATCATTAGCAAACAATGCTTGTTTTCCTTAATGACAGTCTATATAGTTTATAAAGCAAATGTCTGCTTCTAGCTTCTTTTAACAAATTAAAAAACTCTGCCAGCTGGATAGACCAATTACCTGAGACCTTTATATCCACCCATCTACCCATCCATCCACCCAACCACCCATGCATTTTACAAATATTACTTGAGTGTTAGTTATACGCATGACTCTAGTCGGTTCTGGAAATTCAACTCTAAGCAAGAAGAATTGATACCTATTGTCAGAAAGCTTATAATCTTGTGGAAAGACAGATAGTAAAAGTGATTTATGTCATATGATAAGGGATATAAATATGAATGCAATGTAGGATGTCTAACATCTTAACATCAGGATAGGCTTTTTTAAGGAAGTAACATGCAAGCTGAGATATGAATTAGCCAGGTGAAGCAAGGGTTGGGGGAGTTATTTGAGAAGAAGGAATAGTGTGCACCCAGGCCCAAAGACTACGAAGACTCTTCTTACTGTTTATTTTTTGTCTGGAGGTCTTCTCCAGGCTGACTGGAGGTCAGAATATGGACAAAACAACAGAAGTAGGTACAACTAGTTCACTGAGCTGTGGACTAGATAAACAATGTATTTGTGATAAATATCAAGCACATGGCATCACTACCTCCATCTTCTCAATTATTCCAAAAGTTAAGATTGATCATCTACTAGGTGCCAGTAACTAATCTATGGCTTTCATCAAAATAAATTGTTCAAAAGCTTAAATTTGTTTTGTAAGGAAATCACCTTATAACTGTGATAAAAACACTGGATATGTATTCAAATTTTCCTTAAAATATTCGATGACAAAAGGGATCTGGCATTTTTAAGAGAATTCTGGGAAGCATTTAAAGGAAGCCATACTGATGAGGATTCCAACGCATAGAGGTCCCATTCAAATTTAACAGAAACATTTTGTTGGGGGAGAATTATTTTGATAAACAAGGTCTGTTAAGGGTTTTGCTATATAAACATTTGCTTTAGAAGGAAAAGGTTCCATTGGGAACCTTACCCGGTGGGGGAGTATGTACTTCAAGGGATTGTCATCATATTTCCACAAATTATTATTTATGTCTCATTTATCTATATTTTTCCTGGCTCCCAGCAGAAGACTTCTGGGTGCACAAACTTGGAAAATTGTTGAAAGAATCATCATGTTTTAACTTTATCTTTTGACTGATTGTGTGCTTTTTCATTAAGTAGTAAGAACTATACAAACTTTAATAACTTTCACTTTAAAAAAGACAAAGATAAATTTCATGTTTAATTAGTAATTCATCCTAACTTAATATTCATCCACAATATTTTATTTTCTACTTCAGTTGTAGTTCATGGCTTTGTTTGTATGTGTGTACATAGATACAGAGATGATAGATTAATAATAGATAAAATAAGCTGTATCTAATTTCCTTGGGAGTACACAGAATTATAAATTACCATAGAAGTATTAATGTTTGCTCTCTGTGTGACCTTAGGCAGTTTATTTCAACAGTCAGAATCTTAATCTTCAAAATGAGGCTGATAAGAAAACATTACATTATTGCAAAGATTAATAAAAATAAAATAACAAATGCAAATGTTTATATATAAGTATGTATATATATATGTTATAGGTTACACATCTATAGGTATATTGTATGTGTGTGTGTATATATATGTGTGTGTGTGTGTATTTTTTCAAGATTCTTTGTTAAGTCAAAAGCTGTACCTGTTGGTCTGGGTCCTTGACCTCTCTTTTATGTAGTGGATGAAGTCTTCTGGGATAAACCACTTCATAGTTCTTTATTCCAGGGAGTTCCTTGATAGTATTTACTGAGAGGGGAAAAAGGGATAAGAAAAGATTTAGCAGAGCAGAACAAACAAGCAAGAACAAGTAAGCAAGCTGGTTGGTAATAATTAGCCTTACTGCATTTCTGATGAATAATGCCACACACAGAGGCTTAAGGGAATTATGTCAGAGAGTTAAGTGTAGAGACAGACAAAACCAGAAACCACAAATCTTGAACCTATTATCTTCAAATATTTCCCCACTGAAAGTTTACAAGTGTTTCTCTATTTGGTGAAAATATTTCTGTTGGATGTTTCCATTTCTCTTTGCTACCTTGAATCCTCTGCAGAGGAATGAATGTAGCAAGTGTACAGGCAAAAGCTGGTACAGGAAGGCAGAAGCCAAACTAAGACACTAATCAATGTCAGCATAATTAAGTAGAAGCATTCTGAAAACTACACAGTGTTCCAAAAATGAAATAACTAATATATGCCATTTCTGACTGGAATATTTTTTCTTATATGTTTCCAACTGTGATTATTTACACCAATGAATAAAACTAAAACACAGTAAGGATAGCTCCGATAGCTCCATACAATGTGTGGATTTTGCAATACAGATAAACTTTCATTTTTGCTTACAAAACATGAAAAGAGTGAAAGAGAAGCAAACAATTAGAACAGTTTTACTTGTCTGAAAGGAGAATTTTTGAGGCTGAAGTCATACAGAGAGAATTGAACAGTTATCTCATCCAACCTTCTATCTATGTTTTGAATTCTCATATCAACATGTTTCTACAAGTTATTTTTTTTAATTTTCTTTTGTTTAGAGAGAGACAGAGAGAGTGAGAGCACAAGCAAGGGAGGGGCAAAGGGAGAGAGAGAGAGAGAATCCTAAGCAGGCTCCATGCCAGCACAAGCCCGACTTGGGACTTGATCTCACAACCCTGAGATCATGACCTGAGCCGAAGTCAGAGTCAGATGCTTAACCAACTGAGCCACCCAGGTACCTCTCAACAAGTTATTCTTAAGAGGAATTAAGAGTTTTCCCAAAGCTAACATTTAATTTTCTATTTTCTTTTTTATTTGCCCACTTGATCAAGTCCTTGTTCTGGGTAGAATAATGTGTAAGGAAATGTCAATAGACCAGTTCTTTGGTTTCTCAAGGGGCTGCTCGTCAACCCAGAATATAGATGCAATAGGAAACAAAGACCAGAGTATGGGCAGCCTAGCAATTTACTTACATTGCAGACTGGAAAGGCTTTAGTTATCTATGTCATGTCTATCAGAGTGCTCTCTAAAGATAATCTCATCTCATTAAAGTATTCAAACCTAAATTCTATGATAATATAAATTTATGTTATTATTGTTGATCTTTTAACAAATAAAAGTGAGTCATCTTGGATGACTTGTACACTTATTCCAATGCTTGATGCTCCAGAAAATATTTTTAAATTTTTCTTTAGAAACTAAAGCAGAAACTTAAAAAAATTCCTAGTTATGTCAATTTTCTTTTATCATCTTAGGATGGCTAAATGCACTTGACAACTCAAGGGCCATTTACTTCTAACTTCGAAAAATAGGAAAAGTAATTAAATTGGCTAAAAACTCATTAGGTCAAAAATGGACAATCAAAGGGAAGCATTAGCTTCTCTTGCTTGAGATTTACTCTTTTTTATAATTTAAATTCAATGTAATTAATATATAGTATATTATTAGTTTCAGAGGAAAAATTTAGTGATTCATCAGTTGCACATAACACCCAGTGCTTATTCCATCAAATACTTAATGGCTATCACCTAGTTACCCGGTTATATATTATATTTGATATATGTATATATGATATATATAATGGGGTATATGGCATATATTATATATATACCATATATATAATATATACCATATACATTATAATGTATATTATATATAATTAATATATGTATTATATATTACATATATAATATATATCATATACCCCCTTATATATATCATATATACCACATATGCTTTATCCATTAATCTGTTGATGAATATCTGGGCTCTTTCCATAGTTTGGCTATTGTGGACATTGCTGCTATAAACGTTCAGGTGCATGTGCCCTGAGATTTATTCTTAAAAATATTTCAAAATCCCTTAAAACCATAGATTGAAAACTTGAACTTTGGGTTTGGTTCTAATTTTTTAATTGTTTGAAAAGACAGGGCAGATTAAATGATCTTTAAGAACAGATCAAGTAGTCTGTGATTTTATGCAAATAAATACAGCATTCCCTATAATCTCTTTGAAAAGGTGATGGTCGTTTGGATAAAGTTTTAACTGATTGTGTAAAATAAGTCTCATTACACAGTCAAGACTTCCAGAACTACGTAAGTGACCTCAATGACTTCTTGCTGTTACAGAGATAATCATTGGGCATTTTTATTTCTATGTAATTAATTTTCAGTAAGGGAAAATAGTAACATTACTTTATTTAAAAAATTACAGCAAAAATTCAAAAGCCCAAAGGAACATTCTTAATCATTTTCTTAACATTTAATTAAAATATTCATAATTATTGTAATTATTTCAAAATAATAAGATGCGAAGAGGTAAGAAAATAACTTTCACCAGAAATGAACTGATGGTATTGACACAATTCTCTGGAGCTTCTTGTAAACCCATAAAATCAAACAGGCATACCATAAGGCAACTGCATGCTGTCTAGTGGATTGTGTCCAATCAATGCAATTCGTCCCATTAATATGGAATTCATGAGGCCATATATTCACCAATGTTGCAACCAGAGTAACTCTTCTAAAAATGCTGTATGAAAAATTGTTTCATCCATTATACACATTATTCTGAGCGTAAATATTAGTCCAAGTTTCCCTGAGGTCATAAAATAATAACTAATCATAGCTGGCTCTTTTCATAAAAGCAAAAGATCATATCCCACACACATTCCCCTTTCGGAAGTGGTGAGGGAAACAAGCAATATAACCACTGCAAGTTTTCTTAATATACACACTCACCTCCAGACTTCTAGTTAGTATCTAAATCTTAATGTTTCATGAAATCAGAAATTACCAATTGACTTAAACATAGAGTCAAATATAAAAAGTGGATAAATTTATTTCCAATTCTTTAATAGCCAAGCACTTCCAAATGGCAAACAAAATAAATCAGCAAATAAACCAGAATATTTTTTTTAAAAAAGCTTCCAGCAAACTCTCTTAAGTTTGAAATCAACAGATTTTTAGCTCTTCTGAAACTCTTGCAACACATTCTCTAAAGGAAACAGATAGAATTGCTTTTAATGACTCTTATTTCTGTGAAACCAAGAAGGCCCCAAAAGAATGAGGTTTGAGTTATAACAAATTAGACAGCAGTTAGAGATATGCTACAGACTTAAATATTGTTTGGCTCATTCATCCTTAAGGTTGATGGAAATGACACAGCCTCTTCCCAGCTGAATAACATCAGGCTAATTATTTTGAAGCCTGTGGAATAAACACAACTAACTGCCATCCAGGGATTATACAAATCTGAGATGTAACACAATATGTTTCTACTAATGCATTTTAATTCTTACTTTCTCTCTCCCACAGAACTCACTTGTTGGATTACTTCTAACTAGCAAAACTAGATCAAGAAAAATAAAACTATTACTTTGGATTGTGTTAGATCATTATTTTACTGTTTATTAGTTTTAGAAAGGTTAAAATGCATTGACAACATTAATATAACACGCACTGCTCTAGATTGCTAATTTATTTTCTAATGTGTTTGGGGCAATTTTGGAGTCTAGCCTCCTTGTACATAATATTGGCATTTTGATTTTTGTTCACATCTGTTCCAAACTGTTTAAAGTATGTCATTCCAAACTAAACACATGACATTAAGCCCTGAATCAGAGTTTATTCAATATTGACTTCAGATATGGGTTTCTCTGTATCCCTTCAAACCATCTGTGATTTTATGTTTTTATTATTATATTTTTTTAAGATTTTATTTATTTATTCATGAGAGAGAGAGAGAGAGAGAGGCAGAGACACAGGCAGAGGGAGAAGCAGGCTCCATGCAGGGAGCCTGACATGGGACTCCAGGATCACACCCCGGGTCAAAGTCAGCGCCAAACCACTGGGCCACAGGGGCTGCCCTGATTTTAAATTTAGTGTAGTAAAAGTGAGTACAAACATCAAGGAAAAACTCATCCTGATGAAGTCTATCATTTTGGCTATTAAGACTAAATTATTAATACTTCTGAGGGTCATCTAGTCACCTTATGAAGACAAGAAAGAATTGCTAATATGAAACAAAATAATTTCAAAAACTACTGTACCCTCTAGATAGTCTTCTGGAATATATTAAAGACCTTTCTTTTTTGCCAGTGCACTTACATCCTCACCCCCAAACAACTGTCACATCCTTTTAAATATTTGGTTTTTTTTTTCCTATAATGAAGTTATTTTTCTCGGGGGATGGTGAAGGGCATACAAACATCTGGCCTAATTATGTTTCATTCTTTCATTCCATGTCTATGGAAACTGAGCACAAGTCATGGTCTGAGGTACATAATTTTTTCTTTGGATGATGGGGGCAGATAAATAAAAAGAGATAGGAGGGAGCCCTGGGTGGCTCAGTGGTTTAACACCTGCCTTCGGCCCAGGGCATGATCCTGGAGTCCCGGGATCAAGTCCCACATCAGACTCCCTGCATGGAGGCTGTTTCTCCCTCTGCCTGTGTCTCTGCCTCTGTCTCTCATGAATAAATAAATAAAATATTTAAAAAGAGAGAGAGAGAGATAGGAAAAATCAAATTGCTTTATTTTTTACATTCTGGCTGGGAAACAAATCCATGCAGGAATAATAGCAGTGGGAATAATACCTAGGACACAGTCTTGAAAATACAAGATGGAATGTAAAGAGGGGGTGGCTCTCTGTTTAAGATGGAAGATAAGGGGCAACTGTCTATATGTCCCCCTGTTCTCACAAAAGACACTGCAGAACCTTTGTCCCTGCCACCAAGGACTTGAAAATGTCACAGTTTTAGGCATGATTTCTAAGGAAGTTGGCTCTTGGTGCCATGTTGTGAATTCAAAAACAGGATAAATCAGCACATACGCCCAATTTTACTGAAAAGGTTGTCATGTGGGTGGACTCCAGGGTTAACTGTCTGATTCTGTTAATAGATCCTGCTTGATCTTCATGCTATTGGATAAAGTTAGTTCCCAAGCAATTCTTATGTTCCAACTAAGTAAAGGATCCCAAAGAATTTTTAGGGATAGCACTTTTGGAGAATAGAAAGATTTCTATTAAAAAAAAAAGAGAAAGATTTCTATTAAGTTTGATTTACAAACTAGAAATTTTGAGTCAATACCTTAAATATGTAGTATAGTTCTGTATTTAATGATATTAAGTAAAACTTTCACAAGTCTGGAAGACAAATCAGAAACCTGGGGTGGGAAAAATCATTTTTAGTGACAAAGTGCTGAGTGCAAGGGGGAGGAGAATTTTTCCCTCCCTAACCCTACACTTCCTGTTGATGATCCCTTCCCATTACTAGCTCCCCACAAGCATTCTAAAACCCAAGAAAAGGTTTGCTAGGGAAAGATTCCCAGGCACTGAAGCTAATGTGGTGACTTAAATAAGCTCTAGAAATAGAAATAAGACCAGGAAATGTGTCACCCAACCTAATTTAACCAAAATCTAATTGGTGAATTTCTCACAAACGGAGACACATGCTGGAAGTGATTTATTATTGGAAAGTAAAATTCCTCTACTTTTGAATTCTTCAATTCAAACTGGAAGTGAATTATCAGTTTAAGTTTAGCAGTAACATTGTTTTAATCAAGCACAATGCTATTTAATAGCACAATGCTTTATAAATATTGAATTGGTAAACTATTTATTTCTAATTAGGCATACTTATTATCACCAGTAAAGAAAGGACTAAACATAAAAATGTGCCCTCAAAATGAATAGGATGAGCCAAAGTGGTCTCTTTAATAACAAGAGATACTTTCCAAAGCCTTCTCCACAAGGACAACTGGTCAGATCCCCTGCATCTTTGCTGCTTTAAAAATAAGGAGGGATTTGATGGATTTCATTTTTTGACTCAAAGATCATACTCACTATTTAAAGTAAGTGATATGAAGTTTTCCTGGTGATTTCTATGTATTCTCAGATGAGACTTACCCATTCAAGATGTCTCCTTGCCCCTCCTTTGCATTGAGTGTTTACATCAGTCATGGCCCCTCCAAAATGACAGATTAAAACCAGCCCAACTGGTTAGTAAAATGCATTTAAAAAGAAAGAAAAAGAAAAGAAAGAAAAGAAAAGAAAAGAAAAGAAAAGAAAAAAAAAGAAAAAAGAAAAGAAAAGAAAAAAAAAGAAAAAAGAAAAGAAAAGAAAAGAAAAGAAAAGAAAAGAAAAGAAAAGAAAAAAGCAACCTATTGAGAGAAGATGCAAAGCAAGCCATTCACTGACATTATTTACTAGAACCCGAAAAGGAATCAGACACTGACCTGGAACTGGCCAAAGGAGGAAAGTGGTGGTCAGAAGAATCCCCTGCAACATGATAGGTGAGTTCAGGGGTGCAGCGCCTGCCTTTCGCGCTCCCGGGGAGAGCACTGCTCCTCTGCTCTTCCGTTGTCCCTGCCTCCACTCAAGCAAGACAGAATGAAACTCCAGGCTCATTCTTGTCTCTGCTTCAGGAAGTGTTTACTAAAGGTGTTGCACAACATTGGAGCTGTGGTCCTGCCACAGTGTGGCACAGCAGGCGGAAGTTCTGGCCACCTCCCAGCTCTTGGAATCCCTTACCATGAGCCATTGTTTCTCTTTCCTGCTTCCCCATATTTCCCTACTCTGAAGTAGTATGTTTCTAATTTATTGCTATAACCCAATAAGCTACCTTGACATAACTGGCTTTGATAGACCTTGAGAAGTGTGGGTATTTATTATCAGTTTATATAAATATTTATATATGTATTTGGTATGTTGGCAACAAGTTGTTGCAGATGTTATTCTTCCCTGACATACATACATGGTCGGTGAAGCAATTTCTAATCCATTCAATTATTACATAAAATTGTCTTTTCCAGTTATCTTCTATTTGATTCTCATACAGTGGTGCTCTGGGGAGCTTGAACATCCCAAAATAAGAATGTATGGCGAAACAAGCTCAAGGTTTGTCAGAACCCCAAGGGCATTTGTATCATTACTAACAACCAGGAATCAGGAAAAGCCTTCAAGACCCAAAGGATGTAATTTCTAGAAAAACTTAAGGAGCTGTCATTGGTAGTAGTGAGGCTAAGCTGGCATGTCCAGATATCACACTGAATAACAAACTAAATCATGTTGAGTTGCTTTTACTAAGTTCAAAGTTCTTTATACTTATTATCATATTAATTCTTATGGCACTTCTGTATGATACATGGCATTTTACCTCTGTTTTGTAGATTGAAAATTTAGGATTTAAACAGAAAAAGGATTCAAAAGATTAAGACTCAGTTGTTTTTTTATATACTAAATAAGATTAAGCAGTTGGCCTAAGGTCATCTATCTAGTAAATGGCAGGAGTGGAATTTGGACTCAGTATTATCTGAGCTCTTAGTCACACATTCTTTTTTTTTAATTTATTTTTTAAAAGATTTTATTTATTTATTCGTGAGAAACACAAGAGAGAGACAAAGACATAGGCAGAGGGAGAAGCAGGATCCCCGAGGGGATTATATATATATATATATATATATATATATATATATATATATTCCTATGAAATACAAGTTCTATGAGACAATCCTGAGGTTATGACTATGACACCAATTCTTGGTCCATTAAAATGATGCATTATGCTATGGATTCTGAAGCATATTTTTGTAATAGAGTGATTTTGATGAAAAGGGGGTTTCTCAAAATGTCATTCAGGCATCAACTAACAATACAAGAGAATGTTTAAATCTAGTCACTGAGCTTTTCAGCTATAGAACTGAGAATATCACAGGTTTCTTTTCTTTCAATCCAAGTTCTACTGTTTTGTCTTTTTCAGAGAACAGAAAGCTTATACCTACTTTGTAATTCACATGACTTTCCCCCATTAATTCTATGCACATTCATTACTACCTCTTATGGGTAAGACATTGAGGTCTTAGGTAAAGAAGTAGTCATTCCTTTTGAGATGCTTACAGTTCAGTAAGGGAGATAGGCAAGACCAGTTACCATGAAGATGTGCAGGGAGCTGCCTATATATCATGAGACACTGCACAGATAGGAAAGATTTAGGCATGGAGGTCAGGGGCTATCTTTAGCAGGACAAGGAAGGTTTCCTGGAGACAGGCGTAATGAAGTTAACAAAAAATTAACTATGAGAAAAAGTGAAGACATTATGTCATAACATACTAGTTTACGGTAATACTTCAGTATTACCATACTCCAAGAGAGCCTGGAGGAATGGAAAGAGATTCAATGTCTGGTTTTGTCCCTGTAGGAAATGAGCACCACTGGTAGGTTCTAATCAGCACAGCAATTAGCACACTTGCCTGTTTAGGTGGGTAATGGGTAAGAAAAAGAGGAACAATATCTGCCTGCATAGTGATGCATGTGGCATTTTTAAATTGGCAATTGTTCTTCAGCTCCCTTCAAAAATCTCCTGTAGTCGTGACATGCCTTTAGCCAAACTGTCTTCTAGCTATCATTCTTATAAGTTTGGTCAGTCTGCATTGCCTGGAGGTATATTTATAGTGCCCCTAATGTCTTAATGTTAAAAATTTATAACAGTCTCTAAATGAATTTTATTTTCTACTTCCCTCATTTCTTCGAAGCTGTATTGAGCAAACATAAAAGTTGAATTTTGTGGTTTAGCTTAATTTTTCCCTTTATTTCTTTGTGATAGATGCAGTGTTACCACTTAATATCTATGACTGTCAATATTGGTCAGAACAGAAAACAAATGAAAAAAGAAAAGTTACATGAGTAAACCATGTACATTTTACAATATAGTAAATTCAGAATACTTCAGTGGAATATGAAAAAGCAGAAGCTAGCACACAGAGACTGTGATAAACCATATTTATCAATGGTGTCACACAAATACATAAATGATATATATGATGTAGATATATGTCTTATATGCACACTTGTAATTATTCCCTGAGAGAATGGATTCACCCAGTAGAGCAGGTAAGAAGAAAAATATTAGATTAGGATGTATTACATGTAGGCAGGATATCTAGTTGTTAATTAAAAACAAAACAAAACAAAACAACAGGCTAGAGATCTACTTCCAAGAATGATAGATCACATGTATTGAGTTTTTATATGTGAAAACATATTTTTATCCTTGCAACATTCCTGTGAACTGGGTAATAGTTTTATTATCATTTTATAAAAGAATACTCTAAGGAGATGTTAGGTAAAATCATGCAGTTGTTCTACAAAAGAAGCAAGATTTAGACCCAAACAATGTGACACAAGGGGCAGGCTGATATATGCCCATCTACAGGGCCTCTTGAATTATCTGATGCATCACAATCTCCAATAACTTTCTGTGGATAATAAACTTCTATGTTATTTTCAATTACTATTTTATTCACAAAAAGAGCCTCTTCAATTAGATTTCAAAATTTTGGGGGTTAAAAACCATGTCAGTCTTTGCTGTGATCCCTACAATCTCTTGTATCCCAAATGCTTAGAGAATGTTTATTAATCTATTTTTGCTAAATTTTTTTCATGACAACTACTCCAGGGACCATGAATATCACACAACATGTGATTTGGGGATATGTGCCCCTACTCCTATGGAACCCAAAACATACAGTGTTATCCCCATACCTAGGAGACAGCACCTCCTCTGCTGTTAGTACTCAATGAACATTAATTTATAACAATTGAGATTGTTATCTTCCAAGATAACAATTTCAGTCATCTTCCAAGAATTCCCAATGATCAATCCACATAAATAACTTTTTCCTAATATTTTTGTTCAGAAAAACAATTTTGGGGTATTTTTGTCCAGAAAAACAATGAGGTCTTTCAAATTCATATTGCAAGATATTATTAGAATAGAGATTCAGGGGCAGCCCAGGTGGCTCAGCGGTTTAGCGCCACCTTCAGCCCAGGGCGTGATCCTGGAGACCCGGGATTTAGTCCCACATCCAGCTCCCTACATGGAGCCTGCTTCTTCCTCTGCCTATGCCTCTCTTCCCCTCCCCCCCTTCTCTCTGTGTGTCTCTCATGAATAAATAAAAAATATTTTTTAAAAAAGAATAGAGATTCAGACCAAGATAAACCTTTCATATAATATTACTACTTATAACAACAATAATAATGGTAATAGCTAATTCTTTAACACTTACTAAGTGCCAGAAACCTGGCTGATGGTTTAAATATGTGATCTCCTTTATTTCTCACAGAAATCTGATAATCATAGTAGTAGATGTTGTTATGTTGTTGTATCATGAGGAAGAGCACAGGATCTTGAATCAGAAACTTCAAGTCCTACTCTGCCACTTGCTGTATTATACTGGGATCACACTTTCTCTTAAATATTAATGCCAGATAAAGTTAAGTTCTGAAGTCATATAACAAATAACTTCCAGGGTGCCTGGGTGGCTCAATGGCTAAGCTTCTGCCTTCGGCTCAGGTCATGATCTCAGAGTCCCAGGATCAAGTCTCACATCAGGCTCCTCATGGGGAGTCTGCTCTCCCTCTGCCTATGTCTTTCCCTCTCTCTCTCTCTCTCTCTCTCTCTCTGTCTCTCATGAATAAGTAAATAAAATCTTAAAAAAAAACATTAAAAAACAAATAACTTCCAGAATTCTGCTTCACTGGAGTTTACAAGGATCAAATGCTATTATATAGTTGTAAAGCATTTTGTAGGAGTGTTGGCAATACTGATTCCATATTTGGCCCTCCATCTTGTTCATGTTCATGGGATGACCTTCCGTGGTTGCTACATGTTCCAGGCCCCTTGGAGGGTAATGTATGCCCCCACTGAAATGCAGGAGGGTTGTTCTGGTCTTCCTGAAAGTTATTTAGATAACCAGTAGAAATAATGTCATCCGCCTCTACTCCTTTGCATAAATGGCACCACTATGTCTGTTAAGTGTTAGTGATCAAGTAATTTAGCATGCAGATTCTTTGACCTCACCACATGCCCTCTGAATATCTCCTCACTTTATAAAGTCTGTAGACAAAGATTTGGGCTTTGTGGGTAATAGCTGTGTTGCTGTCTAGATTGTCGACCACCAGATTCCCCCATCAGTTATGTAACTCTGAATAGAACTCTATGTAAACTGTATGGAATATTCTGCTGTGTGTTTTGGTCTCCAAGCACCTTACCAGTTTGGAGGATCTCTACTGCCCCTCCTCCATCTTCTAACAATTGGCAAACCAGCCACGAGATGGAAAAACAAAACAAGCACAGGTAAAGTGGCCCTGCCCCTGGAAATCCCATTGTCCATGGAGGAAATCCTAAACTGGCTAGCCACTTCCACGTGAGAGACTTGGCCAGATATTTTGAGCATTTTAGATCAGCACACACGTACAAGGATGCCCTGAAAATGCCCAAGGTATTATTAGATA